CATTTCACTCATGAAACATTTGATGGCTAATACAAGAATCATCCCACTGATTATAACATTTAACAGGGAGTTCAGTTGTTCTTAAGATTAGTGACTCAATACAGTGCTTTCTTTTTTTGTTCTTAGCTTGCCCTCCCAGTCTGTCTCCTAATCACCACCCTGAGAGGGCACGCACACATGGCAATCCACATTACCCTTATACAACACTCTTGGAAAGGAAATATTAAAACCACATTTGATTTTGGTGTAGAAATCCCCTTCTTTGCTCTTCACCAATGAAGGAAGCTGTGAAAATCTTTTGTGCATTGAAAGGGCAAAAAAAAAAAAAAAAGAACAAAGCAATCTCTATTGCCAGACTGGGCAGCAGTAAAAAGGGAGGGGGTGTTACATCAGGCCTTGAAAAACACTAAACACCTACTAACTGCAGATAAACAAGATAGGAATGGTGCTGGGCCTTCTCAACAGGCTCCAGCACAAAACACCACCACAAAATGCCAGAAATTAGGGACAGACCAAGTATTTCACAAAGCAATGATCGAGGTCCTGCTGCTTCCAAACTCAGCTGCTGTCACACTCCACACGGTTTGGTGCCTGCAGATAAATTCCTTGGTATTTACTAATCTTACACACACACATGTATATAAATATATGCACTGCTCTGCCCATGCTTATTCCCTCCTCAGTTGAGCAGAAACTTTTGTCACTCCCCTGTTGCATTTCCTTGCTGGAGCACACACAGGAAGCAAGGGGAAAATGGGTATTCAACAGCCTCTTTCCTCTCCCATTCTATTCCACTTGCAGAAAACTAATTTTAGCTCTTATTTAATCTACAAAATCATGAGCAACCTTGCCATGCAGCAGTATTGTACACAGCTCTCCTTTCCTTTTATTAATGCAGGAATTTGACAAAACAAAGTTTCTCTACTCACTGCTGACAAGCATTTGATTCAAACACCCTTTCTTTTTAAAAAGTCCATATTCTTTGAAAGAGTATTTCCATCTGGGACCTATCCCACATTTCACATTAAAATTAGTTTTTCCAGGATGACAGTATTCTTCTTCACCAGCAAAATTCTCAGCAGAGCCTCCTTTCAGGATAAGACACCTTTATCTGAAATACTGGCTCAGCAAGATGACTTAAGATACTAAAAATTTAAATAAAAGTACATTTTGTTATAGGTGTGGGCACTACTGAAGAAATAAAGAAGTAGTCAGAAGAAATTCCTTACAGGAACAGTGTCAAAAGATAACTCATGTATTAAAAACTATGAAAGAGATGGGGGGAAAGCATAAGTCTCTCCTTCTTATAGTATCTTAATAAAAGAAAGTAATTGCATTTGGTTCACTTGGAATGCAAAATAAATATACAAACCTACCTTAAAATCTCAGATTCATATTTACAAACCAATAAATAAAGCAATATGAGAATTAGTTCTCATCTCTTGAAAACATCATAATTAACAAGACTGTCAGTCATTGAAATAAGCCCTGATTCTCATGTTTGCCAATGCTGATGTCCACTAATCACAGCTGGCAAGTACCTTGTTTCAAAGTATTTTTAACACAACTGAGACTTTGGGTTTTTTTTCAAAAAATCAAACCCATAATAAGCTTTTATCATACCTTATGAAGCTACAGTGGCTCAACAACACATGCAGACAGTTAGGGACAAAAAGATGGAACCAAGCCTTGTGCACCTGCACAAAAGGGAAGTGCTACTGCAGCTGGGAACCAATTTACATCCCTGCAGAGCCAGGGGCATGAAAGGGCTTTTCTGACTGCCAGATGAGGCATTTTCAGATGTGAAATAAGGTGTGTGTACAGCAGCTGGACACTGCAGCACACAACACACCTGTTCTTGGAAAGCTGCAGGTCTGGCAAATGGACAGGATGGGATCAGCCAACTTCCAAACACAGCTCCTGCAGCAGCTCCTGCTGCACACCAGCACCAGCCTCCCCAGGGGACAAAATGCACATTAGTCCTAAAAGTGCTAAAGCACTGGCCAATTTTACACTGAGCTGCATCATCACAACTGTAAATAAACCAAGGCAAAATTGTTGTTAGAAGTGTAAGTAATGAAATACCCACAGAGAGGAGAGCATGACTGCAATTGGATTTTTGCTCTGTCCGCTGCTCCCACAGCTCCCAGGCAAGGCTGAGCACAGGTAAAAATGCAAAGTGACAGAAACCTCAGGTGCATGAGGACACCATGGAGAACACAGACCTAAAATTACAGGGTTTAAAGACACATCATGTCCTCATTCTGCTACAACCTCAGTACTGTAAGAAAGAACTTCCATTCTTCAGATCCACCTAGCACAGTGAAGACCTTGATAATTCCCCTAAAATACATAGGAGAATGAAATTGTCATTTCAGAAGAGTAAACCCTTCTCTCAGCCTCTGTTAAATATCCTCCCTTTAGACTATAACTATGGCAAAAACAATCATTTCAAACAGCAAATGAGTTAAGATTAAAATAATGTGTAAATGACATTTTGTTTCATTTACTTCTTTCCAGAAAGCTGACAAATCCAAGAGTTTATGAATTTATCATTTCATACTGCAATTAAAACACACTAAGACACATTTAACTGAACTACATTAAACTGCCTAAATCTGTACCAATATTCATTTACTGTGTCAATATGTAAATGATCTTTTAAGTCAGAAGAGTTGAGTTTTCACTGCTATTTTAAAGCAGACCAGACCACTTGTCTGAGCTTGAACTGAGCTTGTGAAACAAAATAAGAACATCTAAAAAGCAGAAGAGTGATACAAATGTTGGTTCTTGACAGAGAAGAGACGGGAGAGGGAAGAAGGGGCTGCCAAAGTCTCAACATGTGGCAGAACAGAAATCCCCACTGGGTTCCAAGTTTTGAAAAGTAATGGGACCATTCAGAACAGGGATTTTTGGTTCATGCTCAAACCCTTCTCCACATTCAGCACACACCAAGGTCAAAAACTAAGAATTAATTCCTTTTTTAATAAGGGACTTATTTCAAAGCAAGTAACTTTTTTCAAAAAAAAAATCTAAGAAACAACTCTAGATGACATCACTGGATTTAAAATGCAGTGAGAATATCACAATAAATTGCTGCAGTGGTCAGGTCAATAGTGATGATGCGCAGGTAAATTTGAGGTATTTTGGCTGTGATCCACAACAGAACAAAACCCCCACATTCATAGGAAGAAACTGCACCTCGTCTCCTTTATCCACTGCCAGCTAGGCCCGAGACAGTGTCAGGACACAGAAAAAAATGCCCTCTCATTTGCTACACTTCATGTCTTTCCACAGGAACTGGTCTCTTCCTCGTCGTTCTATTTCCTGTACAGGGACCAAGCCTATTGTCGCTAGGTGAAAACACACACACACACACACACACACACGCACACACCACCGACTTACCAGCCTGCGCTGGCATAAACCTCCCTTTAGGCAGAGGTGACCTGCAGCCTCACAGCCCTGAACGAGCTCCTGTCCCTGTCCAGGCCCGGCGGATCGGGCGTGCAGGGATCAGCTCACAGGGAGCCCTCCGGGACAGGACAGGATCGGGGGTGACAGCCCCGCCAATGCTCCCGGCGATCCTCTCCTGCTGCCCGGTGCCGGCGGGGGGGATCCGCACAGCCCGGCCGCCCCGTCCCTCCTCCTCTCCCCCTAATCCCCTCCTCCTCAGCCGCGCCGAGCCCTCAGCCCGCAGCCCCTCCACCAGCGCGCTCCTTCCCGCCCCGGTCCCCGCCGCAGCCCCCCCCCGCCGGCCCCCCCGCCCGGGACACCGGCCCCGCGTGGGGCTGCGCTCGGCGCGGCCCGGCCGGGTCGGACCCTCCCGCGGCCTCGGCCCCGCGGCTCACCAGGAGTAGGTCTGCTCCGCCATGGCTGCGGCTGGGCGGCCGGCGCTGGGCTCTGCGGGGCGGCCGGGCCCGGGCTCCTCCTCCGCCTCCTCCTCCGCCTCCTCCTCGCAGGCTCCGGGGCTCAGTGGCGGCCCCGCTGCGGCTCCCGGCCCAACATGGCGGCGGCTGTGAGGAGGGAGGGGAGCCGAGGGGGGGTCCCCGCGCGGGCGGGTAGGGCGATGGTGGCGGCGGGGCGGGCGGAGGCTCAGCAGCCGCGACGCGGGGCCGCGCTAGGGCGCCGGCGGGGCCTCATGGCCGGCGGGGCGGCGGCGGCGGCGGCGACGGCGGCGCGGGGCGGGGCAGGGGCGGGAGGCGGCGGCACCGGGCGGCCGGGCCAGGCCGCGCCGCGTGCCCGCGCTCGCGCACGGCGGGGGCGGGGCCACGCCGAGGGGCGGGGCCCGAGCGGCGCGCGGGGTCACGTGCCCACAACACCTTCACGTGCCGCCGCCGCCGGCCGCGCGCAGGCGCTGTGGGGAGCGGGGAGGCGGCGGGCGGCGCTGCTTGCCGGGCCCGGCCGCGCCGGTTCGCCGCGGACACCGCGCCGGAGCCTCGGCGAGAGGGGGGCTGCGAGAGAGGGCGGCGGACGGAGCTTCCGCCGGCAGAAAAGCAGCGCGGGTTGCGGGAGGGTTTTGGGGCTGGGGGCTTCCGGCGAGCAGCCGCGGCTCCCGAGGTGAATCCCCAAGCCGGCGCTTCCTTTCCCGCGGCCGGCTCGGACCGTGACCCCGGGGCCGCTCCCGCTGCCCCTCACGGCGCTGCTTTCCCCGTCCCGCAGCAGCCCCTGCCTGCCCCGGAGAGCGCTGTGGCGCGGGGCTCCTCCGGACGTGGGCTGGGTGCTAAATGCACCGTTCAGGTAAAATAATTCCTACCCGCGGTGTTAATGCATCACATGCACAGGTGTTCCCAGAGATTGCTGTATTTTTGAATCTTTGAAACCAAGTAATATCCGTAGGATCAAATGCTCAAATGTTGGTTTTTTTTTTTTTTAGGGAAGGAAAATAACATTCCAGATACTTTAACCAAATAAAAATCCAGATACTTTGACCAAATAAAAATCACGTGCTTCATTTTATCACCAGCCTGATATTAAACCTGTGCGAGTCTCAGGCTGCGTTGATACTGGTCTGGTGTCTGCTGCCAAACCCTCAGCCCTTCGTTGTGTTTCTGCCAAATGCAGGACCAGTGCTTTTTGCTGGGTTTGCTCACGTGAGTAATCCTTATTTACCTCCTGGGAGTTCACTTGCAGCAATTTTGTGCAAGTGCGGCTTTGCAGAGCTTGAATCAATTGTTCCAGTCCAGCTGTGCATTCCCACTCATTGTCCCTTTCAGTGTGGGAGGGAAAACAGCCAGTTTGAACATACAGCTAGGGGTGATGTAACTGCATCAAATATAAATAGAAGAACAAATGCCAGGGGCTGGTAAAAATATGTATTTGTTTTAAAAACAAGGATGAAGAAATTCTATGCCTCGATAGAATTTTGTTTAAATCTTCCAAAAAATAATGGGACATTGGGACATTTTTCATTGCATCTACAGGGATGCCAGATGCCTCTGAAATTTGGAACCACACTTTTATTTGTTCTTATTAGTGGATGGAATAAAATATTTTCATTTTGTCCATCTCATTTATTCTCTCGAATGGGAAGACCTTAGGCTGGTGTGTGGTCATGACAGAGGATTAAAAGTAAGGAATGTCTCTGTTCATCTTTGTTGTGTCACCAATTGCTGTGTAATCCTGGGCAGGTCACTTCATCCCTGCTAGCTCAGCTCATCAGTCAATACAGAGCAAACTGCAAAAAAGCCTGAAATTTTGGGGAGCTGCAGCAGGAAGATGATGCACGTGCAAGACAGGTTTACCTGGTCTTGATGGAGGGAAGGCCTGGGACTCCTGTGCTCCAGTTAAACAAGGCTTTTAGTAAGATGGTGCTGGACTCTGAGGGTTTCTTCCCCTATATCTTTATGCTTTCAAAACAAGTGATGCAGGTTGTGTCACTTCAGCATCCAAATGCTCAGTGTTTTCCCCAGCCCTTTGGCCTTGTGGACAGGAATGACCTTAGAGCTCCCAACATAATCAGCACTTTACCCACTTCTAAATCTGCTGGAGAATCGGATTTATCAGCTGGGAGGTGGAAATGCCCCAAGTACCCAGTGGGGTCACAGATCCCTGCTGGGCTCAGTCCTGGCAGCTGGGGGTGGGGAATGCTGAACTTTCCTCCCAGCTGGAGAAACTTCCTGCCCTGTTTGATCTCTGCCCTCGGCTTGCACAGTCCCTGTGCCCATCTCGGGGGGAGATCAGGGAGCTTTGGTGGATGTGAGAGGAGAAGGGAGGGAGGAGGAAGGGAGTCATGCTCAGGGCTGGAACAGAGGGCTCACAGCCCACTCTGTTTGGGGGGAAACTCTGGTGTTCCCACATACACATATCCCCTGTCTAAAAAACCAAAAATCTCAGGCTTTGGGTAGGATTTGCACAATGGATAAGTTCCCTGCTTTTGTTCTTCTCAGCACAGCAGAAAAACCTGCAGAAATGCTTAGATAATAAATAAATAATTTGGAATCCTCACTCTACTGTGATGCAAACCTGAATGCCTGGAATGCCTGTTGGTGCTACCCTTTTTATTGATGATAACAGAGTAAATGTAAGAAGAAAAAATAACTTCTCAGTCCTTTTAAATCAATGCAGGGAGAGATAAATCAGTTTTCAGCCTTGTCTTGATACTAAAGAGCCTTTCCTAATTTTCTTTTTGCTGAGAAGAAGGATGTAAAACTGATATTGGTATCTATGAAACAATATCCCTGCTTTGTGTTCATATTGAAATAGCTTCCAGTTTCTCAGTCTTGCAAAATTTCCAGCACATTAATTTGGCACAAATGATTTATAGCTGATGAGCAATTAAAGTATAATTTCTTTCCAGCATCTCAGGCTTTGTGACTAGACTATTAAATGATTTTGCAAGCTTGCTCTATCATTACAGGATAGCAGTGGGATGAATTCACAGGAGAAATTTATTCCTCCCTGCAGACCCAGCATCTACTCTCACCTGCAAACTGGAGCACTGCTTGCATTCCTCAGATAATTTTCTCAGTGTATCTTTTGTACAGTCTCTCTTTGGACCTACAAGAGAGCTTTAGTCTGAATTTCAGTGACAGTTTACTCTGACATTACAAAGTCCTCCCAGAGTGCCTGTTCTGCCTGGAACCTTTGATGTAGACTGATGCTTTCCTTAGACCTGTCAAGGTATTTCAGAACTAGCAGCAAACAAAACCGGTTTTTAAATTATTTTTATATTTGGAAGGGCAGCTCCCAGAGACAAGCATGGTAGAGAAAAATCAGATGAAAGTACTGGCTACAAAGAGTCCTCACCTCCAAATTGTTTAAATGTCAGCAGATGACATTTAGCTAACCATGTCTTGATTCTGCTGTAATGGAGGTGGAAAGAACCAGAGGAGCTTCATGTAGACACTTCACCCTTCAGGAAAGGAAATGACAGGTAGAGTTGTCAACCCTGCTTTGTTCAGGAAGGAACAAATGGACAGGAGCAGAGAAGGAAGGAAAAAACCCAAAAATCAAGAGATGCACTTCTGACTGTACAGCTGGGAGCTACACTGGGCTATTTGCTTGTGAGATCCTTGTGGGATTCCCCTTTACAAACCTAATTACAAGGTGCAGTGACCATGTGTGACACGATTCTCTTCACTACCACCTAGTGGGAAACTCCTTCATAACCCAGCTCAGGGCTGCTCCTGATCTCCACCCTCACCCTGATGGTAGAAACTGGGAATAAGTGGAGGGAGAAAATGAAGGTGACTGGGAAGGAGGACACAGTCCTGTTTCCACATACAGGCAGGGGAATGTGTAGAGAAAATCTGTAATTTAAACCCATTTGCCCCATGGATTTACCACAACTCCAAGCTCTGCATCCAACCCAGCCCACTGATGAAAAAACCCAGCTTCCTTCTCAGTAAAATCACATTTTCCAATTATAACCACATATTTACACCAAAGACTACTACATTAGAACCTAAATGTGTATATATTGGAAACATTAAAACATGTGTTCAAGCAAGTCCTTCCCCACTGAGATACTCAGGGTTTGCACAAATAGCTGAAATCCAGCCCTGTGAAAACAAAGTATAAATGACAATTATCTCAGATTTTTCACACTCCTGTGTTTCTTTTGGGACTAAGCTCCCAATGCACAAATAATAATCAGTTTTGGTACTCACGTAGCTTTTTTCCCCCAATAACAGAAATAAGGGTGAAAATTATCATAATAGCTCTCACATTTCAAGGAGGGGATTATGTTAATGTCATTCAGGCCAGTAAAGCATTTATCAGTCCCAGCAGGAAGAACAGTAAAATGGTAAAGAATTATTAAAAGAACCATTTCTCTGTGTTTCATTTGCCATTGGCAATTTTACCACCCTATTCAGGGAATTATATGGGCTCCCTCTAGTAGCACTTTTATCATAAATATATTTAGGCTTTTTTTCCTTCTCTGTATGCTCCTTCAATCCACATTGTACCAGCAAATTACTGTGTTTTTCATCATGTACACTTCATAATAGATATAATCCAATACATTAAATCAGAGGTAAAAATGGTGTTGATACAGGAGTGAGGGTTTGTGAGTCTATTCTGCATTCCATGAGGTTCACAGGACTCTGCTGTCCCTTACTCTGGCTTTGCCCTTATTTAGTGCAATGAGCAGAATACAGACCAGTACATGTAAAATCAGAATAATGTTCCTATTGTGTACCCATTCATGCTTTCATGCAGTGTTTTCAGTGTTAAGTAATTCACTCACTTTATTAGAGGAGATTACTTTGGAACAGATAATACAAAACCAAATACTGCAAACATGAGAAAAGCAAGCAGGTATCTCTTGGTGTCTTCAAGCTTTAAGTTTCCCCTGTTACAATGACCAAGATCATTTTAATCAGAGTGACTTGAGAATCAAGTCATGGCCTGGGAAATGGTGACAAGGAAAATCAACATAGAGTAAGCACTGGTAATAGATAAAAATGGATATAGGAAACACAAGTCCCCTTATTTAAAATATTCATCCTCAAGGCACAATCCCTGAGTACAATTCAGCTGCAGGAGAACATTGTCTGATTATGGCACTCTGAAACTGAGCTCTTCCTCCAATAAAACTATAATCTAACTTCTACCTTTGACCTCTGCTATTCTCTCATCACCTCAAAAGTGCACTTGTAATAAAATCTGAGAAATATGACATTGCAATCCTTAGTGCCAGGCTATAAAATAGGGATGCTGGCTAATTCCCAGCAGGAATCCCTTTCAGTCTGACCACTAGGCATTTCTAACATTTAAGAAACACTGAAAAGCTCGCTGGTTTTCCTGCACTGAGGCTCTGAAATACTTAGTGGGGCTGAGCTAATCACTGGCACAGCCTGGCAGGTTCCAATGAATGGGAAGATGAAAGTGGGTACATTCATTTGGTTTTTTGCTAATTGTCCAGGTTCCTATAGTTTAAAATGGACAGTTCCAATAGACCAAGGAAAAATTCCTTCAGGATAAAGTGATAGAGAATATTTACCTCCTCCTCAGTATTTGAAATGTTTCCTTGTTCAGTTAAGCATTCTCCACATGGCATCCAGTTGTAGCATTCAGGGAGGTCCTATCATACAAACAGATGTGCATTTCTGGTTTTATAGACTTCAAAGGTCACTGGTCTCAAAAAAAAAAAAAAGCTTCTACAGCTGAAGATCCTCAAGGCAAGCAGAAGCAGCAGCATCAGGACTTCTGGGTGCATAAGGAATCCTTGAAACCACATAATATAAACATAACTTGTTGTTATGCTTTCTTCTCTTTACAGCTTCCACTGACAAATATTGCTGTTCTTTGTTTAAACTTCCCCATCACCCCTCAAACATTCAGTAGGTTTATATACCAACAGAATATGGACAATCCTTCTAATAAGAACAGTGGTAATATTTTCCACCTTGGTTTATGTAAAAGAGACCACCATATCAAAGAGAGGCAGAAATCAGTAACACACAATGACAGCATCTCCTCTGTCACATATTGCAAGAGCTCCACAATCTGCTGTGTCTGTTTGCAAAATCCTGGAATTATAAGGACATATCATGCAGAAACTGTATGTCATGGTTGGATACTGTAATTACAATTGAAAATTACTGTTATCAGCCACTAATGTTGTCATGTCTACCTGAGGGGAGGGAATAAAAGAAAAATGTAATAACAAATAAAATGCATGGAAATTGTATCAACACACTGAGAGTACAATGCCAAAAATGCTCACCGTTCTTTAAACACTCTTGTGATGGGTGCAAAACCAGCACAACTTTTATTAAGAGTATGACCCCAAAAACATCTTTAGAAGCTGAAGTTGTCTTTACATTAATGTTCATGTGAACATTTCTTCAAATAAATGTTTTTACATGGACTCGGGATTCTCAATCGTTTTTAGCCACACAAAGTCGTCAGTGTCCATTAGAGCTTTGTTAACGCCCTGCAGGGAGGGGACGGAGCAGATCTGAAATAAAAGGCAAGAGTTAGCACAGTCCCAGTCCCAGTTCCCTCTGCAGGAACTCTGTCCCGCAGCTGCTGACTCAGGAGCCTGGAGAGCTCGGCCAGTGGTGCCCACCAGGGAAAACAGGAGGGAAACCAGGAGCCAAGGTCCTCTGCAGCATTGTCTTGGGACACTGCCCAGTCTGGGGACAGCCCTAGCAGGCTCTGTTTAGCTCAGGCTGATGGGAGTGTACGGACACCCGCAGCTGCCCTGGCAAGCTTCCATTGAGACAACAGCTTTACATCCTCCCAGGAGTCACTCGTGTGAGACAATCGAGCCCACACGTGCATATCAGGTTACTCCCTAATTTAGCCACTCAAAGTAGATAGGTTAATTCATATTATTTCAGACCAGAAAAGAGAATTTAGTCAAAAAGATTCCTGGGGAATTGTTTTAAGCAGTTCCAGCCAAGCCAGGGATCCTGTTTTAGGAAATCACCCAACAGGTGGGAGCAGAACCTCAGAGCAGGGCTGGTACCAGGAAGGGATGGAGGCAGATGATAAAGGGGAACCACAAGCTTGCTCCATCAGGAGCAGTAGGGCATTTGATGATAGAGCAGGGGTTTGAGCATGACCCAGCACCCAGGGCTATCCTTTATCAAACACGTGAATCACAAGCTCAGAGGGGCAAGCCCTGCAATCCCCCAGATTATGTGGGAACACTGCTCCTGCTCATAGTTGGGCAATAACATAGCAAGGTAAAATGGAGGTACTACTAGAATTTGCACATCAAGATACCCAGCAGCCAAAGCCAGAAATGAAAAAGCCACTTAAGTCTTCATGGTCTGCCACAGAAATCAGCTGGAGCTTCAGAATACCCTGTGAGGTTTGGGAAGGTTCACATAAAGCCAGTGGTCGCCTGCCCCTCTGCTGAGGGATGCACAAAGACCAGTGCAGCTGCCAGTGTGGCTTTCTCTCAGCCCAAAGCCTTTGGCAGGGCCTGACACTGGCTGTACTTCACCACTGCCAGAGCTCTGAGCAGGTTCTGTGATATTCCAACAGCAGCACCTTGTCCTGAACCATGGGCAGCCCAGCACAGCTCCTCCTTTTGGGTACGCCACCTCCTTCCTTTCCAAAATGAACGGGGCCAGAAGTAAGCTGTGCTTCTCCATCCCCATCTTCCTAGTGTTCTTTCCATACTCACTTTTCCATGCTACGGATTTTTTATCCCTTCATTTTCTTCTCCTTCTCTCTCCTGCTTCCCTCCCTTTCCCCCTCCCCCTGCCTTCTCTCCCTCTGCACTTTGTGAACTGCTGCGGCAGTGCTGAAGTCCAAAGTTCAGTAACTTGCTAAAGCACACAGATAAATATGAACCTTGGAGAATTTACATTTGCTCCAATGTAAACAGATAGCCAAGGGTCCCTTTATCAGCACTGGCTCAGGACAGTCGTGGGGGGTCTGAAGTGGCTCAATTTTGTATTTTGTTTTTTTTGGGGGGTGTAAAGGCGGGAGGCTGTGCTGTGCCCACTCTGCTGACGGTCGGGCGCGTTACCTCGGGACCATGGTGTAGGGAAGCTGGAAGCAGGATAACCCCAAATTCCAAGCCAAGAGACACCAGGCTGAAGACCATGGTCTCCAAGCTGACTCATCTCCAAGTGGAGCTGCTGGAAGCGCTGCTGGAGTCGGGGCTGACCAAGGAGACCTTGATCAAGGCTCTGAGCGAAGCGGAGCCCTACGGGCTGCAGAGCGAGAGCCAGCGCGCCATCAATGCCCTCCAGAGCGAGAAAGGGGAGCCCTGCCCCGACATCCCCAACGGAATGGGCGACTCCAGGGCCTCAGAAGATGAAACCTCAGATGACGGAGAGGAATTTACCCCTCCAATAATGAAGGAGCTGGAAAACTTGAGCCCTGAGGAGGCTGCTCACCAGAAGGCTGTGGTGGAAAGACTATTACAGTAAGGACAGATTTACTGCTCCTCTTTGCTGCTTTCTTGCACTCTCCCTCTAAATCTCTTTTCCTTTCCCCTTCTCCTCAGTGTCCCTAGTATTCACAAATGATCTAGCTACACAGAGACAGTCTTCATCCATGCCAGGACTAGCAGCCGCCAAATGCTATATAAATGTTCAGATTTTCCTTTTATCTTGCTTAAAATGCATTAAGGAAGCTATGGAGCCTGATTACATATTTGACATGCCTATAGCATCAGGCTTCAGAATAGTTCAAGGCCTGTATAGCTCTCATCTCTTTGACCAAATGTTAGGGTTTAGGATTAAAATTTTTAATACAGTTCACAATTTCAGTCATCAGGAAGAAAAAAAAAACAACCTGGTCACTCTGAGCTGGTGCTATATTTGTATAAATGATACAGTGAAGTTGTAATGTTTTCCTGCTGTATTTAAGGAGAATTATATTGTTAATTTCACTGGGGTTTGCTATAGATTATTGGCCAAAGCCAGTCAAGAGACCTTGTCCTTGTTGTTCTGAGTGTGAAGTCCCCTGACTTTGGTGGGGATTTTTCTTGTAAAAAGCACACACAAAACATATGCAGAGGTTAAACCTGGACAGAACTCTCTGCTTCTACCATCCACTGTCTGTCACAGTTACAAAGAACACACACAGCAGCAGTGTCTGGGTTTGCTGCCACACAAATTTGCCTTTGCATACAATTATTTTTGAGATCAAAAGACAGGGGAAGTTCCCTGAACCAATAAGCCTCTCAACAGACTCAGAGAAGCATTCACTCAGTTTCCCATTTGGGATTCTTACTGGCATACAATCCCCAAGGGAGATCCAAGAGGTTTGTCCAAGCAAGGATGAGGCCCATGCTCCCATCCATCACAACAGATTCCTGACTGTTTTAAGGCTATTTTGAAATGACAAGCTGATAGAACACAGAGGTGCAGCAACACCCAAAATCTTCAGTAAAAATCCAGCTAGGGAATTTCTCAGGCATTCTGATCAGTCTCTTTCACGTGCAAAGGGAACAACTGAAAATGTAACAGCAGAAGCAAACATCAAATCCCACCACAAAAGGCCAGAGCTAAGAAAAGAGTATGACAAGAGTTAGCATTCCCTGTAAATACTTAAAAGAAAGCTCCTTGGCAGACTGGGAGTTGATGATTCTGCAGAACCCATGAGAGGAAAATTGACTGAATCAGCTCTTACCTGTGTGGAAAAAAATCCCCATTAATTCTGTCTTCTTCCTGGCCCAGTATGTCCCATTTCTTCTGCACTTCCAGCTCTTCCACATCTTTAAGTTTTCTCTACTTCCTTTACATCTTTCAGATTCTTTTTACCTATTTCCCTTCTCTCCTCACTATTGTTTCTGCTGCCATTCCTCCCATTTTGTTGTCTCCTTGGCTGATTCTCTCTCTGCCTCCCACTCTTTTTCTTCCCCCCATCCTTGTCTCCTTCCCATCCTCCTGAGTCTGCGTACAGGTCTTGGGGCAGTTTGAGCCCAGTGGCACCGGGCGGGCCCTGGCTAGTTACTAATTATCCAATGGCTTTATTATTTCTCTTTTGTCTTATAAATTTATAGATGAAAATACCCTGATAAGCTATTTGATCATTAACTTTTGATGGTTTGTCAAGTATCTCTCCAGAAAGAAAGCCATGGAGGTTGAGGAAGACTCCCTGGCTTTGTCCCTTTTTCTCTAATAAGTGGGTGAAGCAGGACTGAAGTGACATCTGCTGTGGTCCAAGAATAGGATGGAGGCAATTCCTTCCTGTCACACTCACTTCAGCACCACTTCTGGCTTCTGATCCTCCCTGTCTTTCTAGGATCTTGGTGCCAGTCTTCCCTGTGCTTACCAGCCTCACCACAAGTCTCACCTCTCTTCCAAAGCTGTGACATTAACACTTTCTGACAGTCTGGAAATGCAGAGCAGCATTTCCATTTCACAAATGGAAACTGAGGTACAGACAAATTCTAGGACCTACCTAAACCCCTGAGACAGCACAGAGGAGACTGGGCAAGGACAGGGATCTCCTAAGCCTCACACTGGCTCTTAATTACAAAGGCTTTACTCTGAAACATCAGAGATCTCTGTCATCAATCTCCCCCACCACAGGATAGAGCAATTCACTTCTGCTGTTGATGACAATATAAAGGCACCAGAAGCCTCAGTTTCAGAAAAAAGATTACAAGTGGAGGTCTATAATAGATCAAAATTTATCAAGTTAAAATGAAAAGAGTAGGAAGCCTGCATTGACATGTTCCACATTTCTCATCAAATCAACAGAGTGTCTAAAAATCTGTTCAAAGCATCTGAACCAGTAGCAGGGGTTGATAATACCTAAGAAGTTCTTACCTACTAATAAACTTATTTTGGTTTTAAGATCAAACCTTTCCATTAATAGATGCCTTAAAGTAATGTCCTTAAAATAGTACTGTATGTATTAGAAAGCAGGGCAGAACAGTCTGTGGTAGAAATTACTTCCAGCAGTAGACAAAAGAAAGGCAGGCAAGAATCTCCATGCCCAGGGATTCCCTGCAAAAGGTCACTGCTTGCAAAACTATTTCACCATCTACACAAGGGTTTCAAATGCAGAAACCAGATGGAGGCAATTCTCCCTTTAGACAGAAGCTTCTTTGGGCATTATTAAGAACTCCTGGTCTGCAGACCAAATTTTAACAGAGAGATTGACTTGTGGGCAGCTATTGCTGATAGAGGAAAGTCTTTGTGCTAACTGCAGCCACTGCTTATAAAGCTATTGCTTTATAGAGTAGAATCAGGAAAAGTGTCCATTATTAGGCTTTCCAGGAGCTGGAAAGAGAAAAAATTGACAGCACCAAGAGACCAACTATGTCTCCACAGGACCACTGAAACTGAAACCAGTTTGAAAAACTCTGCTCAAAGCTGAGTAGAACAGAGAAGATACACCCACAGGACTGGGTGCACCCATGGGTGTTGATTAGATTTTGTCCCTACAGAGAAAACATGCTAAAAGCCGTTCAGATAAAGGTTTCTCTAGTGGGGAATTAACATAATTTCATTTTGTCCTTTCATACGTCTCACTGATCTCCCGTAGATTTACAGTTTGAATAAAAACATTCTTTCCATATCAATCCACACACAAAACAAATTGCATCTATGATAAGAAATAAATGACTCAGTAGGGAGGTAGAGCTGTGAGGAGAAACTCCCAGATAATCCCAGAATATAAGGCAAGAAGGAGGCTACCTTGGGGGAAAGGACCATACTACTGCAGGTAAAGCAAATGAAGAGAGGTAGAGTGACAATCCACCTGTAGGGCAAGGGCTGAAATTCCACTAGGAAAGAGAGAAATTGAGATAAGCAACAGATTTCCCCTGGAGGCAGGGATAAAAGCATGCTTTCCAGGAGGAAAAAAGAAAACAAAGATATATCATGACAAAGGTCCAGTCATTCCCCCTGCTTAGAACAGCTCTAGTTGGGGAATCTGGAGATGAAGCTGCCACACCCCTTTCATTTCCACATATAAACCAAGATGAGGCAAACCAGGCCAAGTTCAACAGAAAGGAACACTGCCAGCATGGATGGTCTTACCTTCCCTCTGCACTGAGATGTGCAGCAGCTCCAGAGGAAAGGGCCGGGGATGGTCCTGAGCACTTCACAGCTCTGAACCTCTGCTTGAGCAGGGTCTGGTCCAAAGCAGCAATTCAGAACACACCTCAGGGAAATGAAGGCTTCTCCCACCTGAGAATCAGAACAGGAAAGAAGGGAAGAGAGAGTGAAGGAGGAGGAGGAGAAGAAAGAAAAGAACAAAGGAAAAATAAAAAGTCAGGAAGAGTGAAGGAGGGAGAAGGTCCCCTGAATGTTACATCTCCAGCTCTCTGGAATGGGTTTTCTTTAATGCTAACAACTTGATATTTACTTTCCATTTAAATTTGAGATGTTGCTATAAATTATCAACCAGCCTCTTGTTCCCTTTGAGTTTATAACTAACTACCTGGGTTACTTATTGTTCAGGTAACAAAAGGGAGGTGAAAACGCCCTTAAAAAGTGACCTCAGAACTAAGAAAATGGGAAGCTGACATGGAGTGAGGATCCTGGCCCCTGTGGTGGGGATGAGCCATGGAGAAGGGCTATGCTCACATGGCAATAAGCAAGTGAGAGCAGGAGAACAAGACTTCAGAAGAAGGAAGTAAAAGCTAACAGTGTGAGAACCAGCCAGGAGAGAGATTACACCCTGGAGAACGAGACCTTGGGAAGACAGTTTGCATCTGAGCAGAAGGGGAAACTAGAAGGCAGAAAACAGTCTTGGAGATAGGGAAGGAGAGCTTGAGCAAGGCAAACCTATTTGTGCAGTTCTGACTCACTGAAACAATTGAGATTTGGCTGTAAAACAAGCAGAGAACTCAGTTTAGAGTGAAATCCTCCCCTCTGACAGTCAATGATATTCTTATAGCCAGTGAAAGAGAAGAGGCTTCAACTTCTGATTGAAGTCCTAGCCTGTGATGGAGGCTCTGCAGGTGGAACTGTGTATCTGAGCAAGGGCTCAGCTGGCCAGACTGTCATCACTTGGACTGTGGTGTAGCCTTGGGCCTAAAGCACTTGCTGCTTTGGTGTTGCAGACTGGCCTTTGACAATGTACAGAGTAGCCAGGATTTCATGCAGCTGTCCTAGGAAATCACACTGAACTAAGATTCCCTGCACTATTTTGCATGACAAAGCTCCCTGCTGAGTTAAAAGAAGACAAACCCCACAAGTCTTTAACCACTGTGAGAAGAGACTCACAGAACTTACTGGTTTATTCCTGCCACAAAATGAGGATCTCAACAGGGGAGACAAAACTGACTTGACTGGGGTGCAGAAAGGAACTAACACATAACAGAGGCTTCTATGAGTGGCCACACAGACTTTCCTCTTCCCATCTGAGCCAGAACTCAAATCAAAGAGGTCAGCTCCCCAGTCAGAGGCTTTTCTCCTCTATACAGGGACTTGGACAATGAACACAGGGTGCAGGTGCTGGCCAGACCATCACAAGTACAAAGGCAGGAGACTGGCTTAGGCAGCAGGAGGGGAAAATAAAAGAAACAAACAAACAAAAACAACCATGAGGAAAGAAAAGCTTTCTTAAATTCAGCTCAGTTTGTGGTTTTTGAAAGACAAAGATAGTTAAGGGAAGATGCTAAAAATCAGAAGCCTCTATGGCAAGTGCTCCAATGTAAAAGAGAAACGAATGTTCTATTTTAAGCAGGTTTTCAAAAAGCTGTAACTGACACCATTTGTGTCACACTTTAACTGCTGTGGAGCTTGCTCCTTGGACTAGGCAGCCCCTGGGAGAGGGGCTGCAGGGGAACAGAGATAAGGGTGTTTGTACTGAGAGAACAGGTGTGGACTTTGTCCTCCTTATCACTGTGCAGCCTCCAGCAACCTCCTGAGTCAACAAAGCCATGAACAGCACAGTTGGTGCCTCTGGCTCAGACATGTGTGCTCTTGTGACAGTTTCTGCACCATCCCAGGCACCTTTTTTTCTCCCCACTGCTCCTTTAATGCTGGTGTTGAATATGACACCAGTCTCTTCCTACAGCACTGCAAGCCATTTCCTGCAGACATTTCACACAGAAGGCACAGAAGGATGCTCCTGTTCAAAGTGAGCCAGGAGCTGTTCTGCAGAGGTGCTCTGGCACTGCTTGGATTTAGACTGATGAGTTTCACATCTTTATTTCTACTGTGACTTTCAGCTAGGGGGAAATCAATACACATAAAGTCACAGTCGTGTTTTCTCTATTTTCCTCAAGAACCTTAATGGATATTCTGACTGGATATAATAAAACCCAGAGGATCACATAAATTATAAAATCCCACACTGTTCCTGAAATTTTGTCTGCAGGTCTCAAATAGTTCTATTCCTTCAGCTGTTACCCAAAGGAGGGCAGCAATAGGAGGAATTAGTAATTCCATATTGCATTTAGAAGCTCTGAGTAGACCTAGGTGTGAAGCAATGTGTTTGAGTAACACGTAGCAGATGTGTAAGAACATAATTCTGGATGATTTGTCATATATATGCATACAGAGCTGTCATGCCACAGTATAATGACAGCCTGTTTCCATTGGCTGAATCATTGCAAGGCAACCCAACCTGGACCAGAATCAGGGCATGAGTCAAGTTCAGTCTAGTATCACAATCAATCTGTCTTGGAAAACTCAGTACATCCGCCCCATCTGCTTTAATGAGAGGGGGATAGAGAAGAAAAGTAATGTAGGGAAAGGGAAGAGAGAGGTTGCCTCTGTGTATTGGAAATTCCCCTGGTAAGCAGAGTCTCCTCCTAAGGGCAGACCTAAGTGTGTACAGACAGAACTTCAAAGGAAGCCACTGCTACATCTTTTGCACTTTATCTCCAATGTCATGCAGTTTTACCCTGCATACAGAATCAGAACTGAGCAAGGCAGCACACTGAGGAACAGCTTTCTCCCCTGCAGGCAATGAGCACTCTGGCCTCACCAAACATGATGGTGATGACTGACAAGTGCCACTCAGGAGCTACTGCTGCACTTCCTTGAAACCCAGGTCTGCTGAGAGCAGGTGTTTGATCTCTCTCCCCTGAGAAATGCCTTGTGTTCCTTCCAGAGAGGATCCCTGGCGAGTAGCAAAGATGGTGAAGTCTTACCTCCAGCAGCACAACATCCCCCAGCGTGAGGTGGTGGACACCACAGGTCTGAACCAATCCCACCTCTCCCAACACCTCAACAAGGGCACTCCCATGAAGACCCAGAAACGAGCAGCCCTGTACACCTGGTACGTCCGGAAGCAGCGAGAGGTGGCCCAGCGTGAGTATGGCAACAATGCTCCTGTCTCAGTGCCATAAAGGCTTCTGCTTGTCCTTACTCCTTGTTGTTTCCAAGGAAAAAATTCCCTGGCCCTTTGTGCTTGCAGAATTCACACATGCTGGCCAGGGCATCCTGACAGATGAGCCCATGGGAGATGACCTGCCCACCAAGAAGGGAAGGAGAAACCGCTTTAAGTGGGGTCCTGCCTCACAACAGATCCTGTTCCAAGCCTATGAGAGGCAGAAAAACCCCAGCAAAGAAGAGAGGGAGGCACTGGTGGAAGAGTGCAACAGGTAAGGGTGGGTGTGCATCTTTGAGGAAGAGGAGCAGGGTCCCTCTGCATTCCTGGTGTTTGCTGGTGCCACTGGGAGGCAGGGCAAAGGTACAGCGCCGAGTGGCACCACTGACACCAGCCATGCTTAAATTAAATGCCATAAGTGATCATTCCTTGTCCACAGAGCACAAGGAATGCCTCAGTCTTGCAGGACCCTTCCACACAGCGTGCCAGACCACAGCCACTTGGGAGCTGTGCACTTTGTGTCTTTGAATAAGCCCAGCTCAGCAAGGCTCTTCTTGTGCTTTTCCCAACAGGGCAGAGTGTATTCAGAGAGGTGTTTCCCCATCTCAAGCCCAGGGACTGGGCTCAAACCTGGTGACAGAGGTCAGAGTTTACAACTGGTTTGCCAACCGCAGGAAGGAGGAGGCTTTCCGGCACAAGCTGGCCATGGACACCTTCAGCGGCCCGCAGCCCCCCCCGGCGCCGCCTCTCACTCCCCACAGCTCCGCCTCCCTGCAGCCACCGCCTGCGCTCTCACCCAGCAAAGTTCACGGTAAGAACAACCAGAGGGAGGTCTGCGAGAGAGCTGAACCTGCCCAAACTCAGCCACCCAAACTGTCTCCCAAGTCCAGCCCTTTAGGAAATGAATCTACAGATAGAAAAAGCAGATTTGCTACAGGGGAAGAGCAAAGATGACAAAGAGACCATGTTTCTGGGTGAGGAGAGCGGCTAGAATGTCAAGGGAGATAAAATTCAGTAACAAAACCCACAGCTAAAGCTTCTCACTTACTGTGAGGCCTCCCAGCTAGCAGGCATCAACCCCAAACTTTGTGTTCCAGGAGCCATCACTGCCTATCAGAAGTTCCATGCCCTTCCAGTCATGTGTGCCCCTTACTCCTTTCAATGCCAGCCCCATCAGACCCTGTGACAGTTTTTAGGCATGAGGAAAAGTCATTCTCCATCCAGAAAGAGCACAGCTCCATGGGCCAGAGCTGGGGGTTAGTCTTACTCTAGGAAGAGATGATCTCACCAAGACTCCTCTCTTCAGCCACATCCAGAGGGGTGGTTTCCTGCTCCCTGGCTCTCACAGCCAGTCAGTGTTAGAGGAAGCAGTTACACCAAATTACAGGGGAAAGTCAGGGCAGGGTGTTCTTCTGGTTCTTCTGGTTCCCCTACTGACCATTAAGTACCTGCCTAAATATCTGGTGGCGAGTGCCTGCAGAGGAAACTGAATTTAGTGCCTGCCTAAGTTTCTCACTTGTGACAAGCAGTTTCCCTCCTGTTGTGATGCAGGAGTGAGGTACAACCAGCAGCCAGCCAGTGAGGCAGAGTCCTCCAGCAGCAACCACCACGGGAACAGCTCCATGGTGACCACCCAAACCATCCTGCATCAGGTGTCTCCCCCTGGGCTGGAGCCCAGCCAGAACCTGCTGAGCACAGACACTAAGCTGGTAAGTGATGGACACTGCTGTTCTGCTGACTGGGACATGTCAGGCCATCTGCCTGTGGTTAGAATATGGCATATATTATTATATATATAATTATAAATAATATAATTTTATTATAATCATAATATTATAATCTAATATAATATGAACTATTCATGGGTATTTTTTGTAGAATGTTATTAAACCCACCTTCTTATGCTACATAGTCAAATGTAACATATTGTTAGATAACCTGTTATGTAATAATATGATATATTAGAGTCACTCTGCACTGACCATGTCAGACCAATATGTGCCCTCTAGACTGTGGTGAGGGCAGGTATTAGAGCATGAGAGCAAGAAGACATTTCCTGATGAGTAATTAAAACAGTCTGTTCTGGAAACACAGCACTCAAGGCATGACAAGACTTTCTTCTTCCCAGGAAACCCTATTCTCTCCTCCTTCCCACAGAGAGATTCTTATCCCATCTCTAGCTCTTATTTGGACTCTACCCATGCCAAGAGTTGGTCAGACCAGTGGGATTACCAGAACACAGATCCACACTTACATCTAGCTTACCTGTACAAATGGAGCCCAATAGCCTGGATGCAGACATGTACTGGATAACTAGATTGCCTCCTCAAAGCCAATTTCCCTTTGAGATCTGACCAGACCTTTTCCCACATCATTAACAAAGAAGCATCAGAACTACATGATTGATCATTCTCAGTCTGCACATGTTCCCTTGTTTTCAGAGAAACAGTCAGCAGAAGTTTGCATTAGCTCAGGCTGGCTGGAGGCAAAGTTAAGGTTGCTAAAAATAACTATGATTTAAATCTCATCAGTCACTCACTTTGCTGGCTTTCTGGTCTCTTGCTGAAGAAAATAAGTCTTTCACGAGGTCCTGAAAATCTTCTGTCTGTGTTCTAAAACTGGTATCAAGGTGGTTTGTCCCACTGTTTAACCTCTTGGTGCTTATTCTTACTAAAGATTCCTTACAGCTTTTTGTCTGAGGGGAGAGAAAAGAAGTGTAATATAAGGCATTTAACTATCAGCCAAATCACTAGAATGCTTTTTTGCTCTTCCATAATACTATACTACAGGTCCCCAAGGGAAAGAGGAACTCCTGCTAGAATTCTCCTACTAGAATGACTATGAGAAGTTACCTGAGCCTCTTAATTTCTCTGAGCTTCTCCTTCTGCCCTCAGCTATGAAACAGAAGATTATCTATCCCTAAAGAGAACACAGTGGGCTTAATCTCATTCTTACAATTTCTTAAATGTGAAAGAACTAAACCAGCAGGGATTTACTCTTAGTATGTCAACAGTTCACCTGTGCTAGTTAATGATGAGCACACAGGAACTGCAGACAAGGATATGTGAAGCCCTTGCAGTTAGCAGGGGGAGGAGCAGGAAGAAAGGAGTTTGTCAGCTTTGGGACTCACCTGCTGCAGGTGGCACGTTCAGGGCTCTCCTTTCCCACAGGTATCAGCTCCTGGAGGAACTCTCCCTCCTGTCAGCACCCTGACTGCCCTGCACAGCCTGGAGCAGAGCCCACACACGCTGAGCCAGCAGACCCAGAACCTGATCATGGCCTCCCTGCCGGGGGTGATGGCCATCGGGGCGGGCGAGACGCCGTCCCTGGCGCCCGCCTTCACCAACACCGGAGCCTCCACGCTGGTGATCGGTGAGTGGAGGCTGCAGGGCTCTGCCTCCTGCAGCCACAGCTGCCTCTCCTTGTCACAATCACCTGCCCCATGTTCAAAGCCTTAGCACTAAGCTGGCAGTGATACAGACCTGAGGAAATTGTCAGCTACGATCAGCAGCGCTGTTGGCGAGTACCAGCGGACTCAGGACAGATGTTCCTCGTTCATGGTAGAATTAAGTTACACACAAAAGCCATGTTTTAAGAGTAATCTATTCCTATGCCAATGTTTTGGTTTGCTACTCTTCATCTTTCCAAATATAAATATAATACTTCCTTAAAATGATGGAAATTAAAGCATGTTCATAGTGCTTGAAAGACAAAACATCCTGTTCCACCACTTCCTGCAAAGAGCAGCATATGCCTTTGGAATCCACAGCAGTAATTACTATTTTTTTATATTTTTCACTTTGACAGCTTTTCTGGACTTTTATGAGATTTCTTTTCATTCCAAGACTAGTCTACTGCCAAAGTGCATCTCATTAGAGGAAAGGAAAATCAAGTGTATACTCTTCTCTTACATTTTCTTCCAAGGAAGAAAGAGGCCTTGTTTTGTTCCATGGTGACAGCTGTGAACTAATTTCCATTTCTTCCCAAGATTGTGATATGGATTTGAATTCTGTGCGAACAAAAAAAAAACCCCAAAAACTGGAGTGCAGGAGAGACCTGCTGATTTACAGGGTCTGGACAGTTGTGGGAAATGGGCAGCAATATGTGAAACCCTCTACCTCTCTCACTGGCTCAAATTCCTTAATTTGGCAGCCCTGGCAAAAAGAGTTAAAACTCCATTCCATGTGGCTGGACAGCTACAGCCTAGTTGTCTGTGTTGCCAAGAGTTTCATAAAATAAAAAGAGTAAATTAACTGGGCACTGAGGTGATGCTCTGAATTTATTTTTGAGCAAGGCCTCCCTGGTGATCACTAAACTGGAAAAGAAACTTTTCTAGTACAAAGAACGTAGACAGGAATAAACACTGCAAACCAGAGGTGGGGTGATGCAGCTTTTGGACATTTACACTTCTCTCTCACAGGCATGAAATCTATCCTTAATCACAGACAACCAAGGGAACACCTGAAAAGCAGGACCTAAAACCACCCTGCAGGCTGCCCCAATGGCTGTTTGAGATGCCCCCATTGCAGAGCAGCCCCACTCCTCCTGCAGGGTGGACACCACTGGCATCAGTCCTTGTTTTCCAGGCCTGGCCTCAACCCAGCCCCAGAGTGTTCCTGTAATAAACAGCATGGGGAGCAGCCTCACTACCCTGCAGCCTGTTCAGTTCTCCCAGCAACTGCACCCATCCTACCAGCAGCCCCTCATGCAGCAGGTCCAGAGCCACATCAACCAGAGCCCCTTCATGGCTACCATGGCTCAGATACAGAACCCTCACGGTAAGAACATACATTCATTTGCTTAAGTAAGCAAAAATAAAGACACTGTTCCTTGAGTGCATTTGCTGGGTCCTTGGGCTTACAGCACTCTGGTTTCCTCCTCTTATTGTTGCTCTAATTATGAAATTATTTTTCTATTGCATTTATCTCCCTGTCCCTCCACCCCCAGCATTGTGAAGACAGACAGCAGGTCCCACTGCATGAGGAGAACAGCTCAGCCAAAGCTCCAGCACCCACATGATGTTGTTTTCTTTCATGTACAGCTCTCTATGGCCCCAAATCTGAAGTGACTCAATACACACATGCAGGCCTCTTACCACAAACCATGGTGATAACAGACACAGCCAATCTCAGTGCCCTGACCAACCTGACACCAACTAAACAGGTAACAGCCTTTCTTTAGCCTTTGTTCCCCCTCCTGAGAGCTGCACCAGCCTGCAGGCAGCTCCTTGCATGTCAAAGAGCTTTTGGGTGTGCCTGTGCCATCCCAGCAGAAGCATCTTTCTCATCTCCTGGCCCTGCTGGGACCAGCTGCAGTGCTGGAGGCACCAGAGCAAGTTGTTCACCGCATCATCCAGGAGGATTTCACCTCCCCAGAACCTGCTCAGTGCTTCTCTCACAGCTCTCAGAAGGATGTAGAAGCCACTATTAACTCTCTTTTCTCCAGGCATTCACACCTGACTCAGAGACCCACACCGAGTCTGGGATGCACACACCAGTGTCACAGGCACCAACAATCCATCTACAGAACCAAGACTCAACAATCCAGCACCTTCAGCCAGGCCCTCGCCTCACCTCCAGCCCTGCTGGTAAGAGCAGCAGCCACTATTGTGGCTCTTAAGCCATGTATTGCCTAGTTTTTCTTGCCAATACTGTAAAATCCAGTTAGAAAATGGTAATTGGGGCTCTCAATTCCTTAAATTGGCTCTGCCAGTGTCCTGAGGGGTTTGAAAAGTCAATACAAGGAAAAGATTCAGAGCAGAGTCTGTGTAATGCCAGACTGTGGAAATTGGCCCTTTCAGAAGGGCAAATACCTTTAAAAATATCAACAAAAATCAGTGCCAATGAGTACCCAGTCCTGTGGGCAGTTCTCAGGGCTGAGAAGCCCAAGTCTCCCTCATGAAGACTCCAATTGGATCTTCCCAGTTCTAAGAGGAGAACTAGGACATCAGCTAGAATCCTTAGAACTGAACTCTCTGGAGATTGCTGCCCTCAATGTTTTCAGGCTGGCTGTGGACCCAAACCAGGTATTTAGCAGCACCCAAAACACACAGAGAAAAGCAGTTATGCCCCTAAGCCAGGAGAGCACAGCCATGCTGCAAATGGGGTGTACGTGCAATAAGGGGACTGGTGAGAATCTGCCATTGACTTCTGCCTGTACCTTTGGCAGTGTCCTCCAGCAGCCTGGTGCTCTACCAAAGCTCTGACTCCACCAACAGCCACAGCCAGCTGCTGCCATCCACTCACAACGTCATTGAGACCTTCATCTCCACACAGATGGCATCTTCCACCCAGTAACCACCACCAGCAGCCCCTGAGTGACTGCCACAACCAACCTGCCAGGTGCACCTCCAGCCCTGTTTGCCACCACAGCCTCACACAACCCCTGCTCAGCTGCCTCCAGGAGAGAAAAAGTCTCAGGCTCAAGACAGAAAACATGGAAAGATGATGCTGGCACTGCTGAAATCCACTGCCACCCCACCAAAAAAGCCCCAGCAAACCTTAACCCTAGCAGCCAGTTCAGAATGGCCAGACATCCTTTTGTGGCTGCCCAAAAAGGAATCCCAACAGTGCCAGGATGTGGATGGGACTTTAATTCACTCAGCTTTCACCAGGCTGGGCTGTATGAACCTGTAAGCACCAGACTAAATCACGTGGGAAAGAACAAGGCTGGGCTGCCAAAGATGGGACACCACCTTTAAACACTCTCCTCCTTTGCTGCAAGGAAGCACCAACAGGAACTATAAGAAATAACAGAACCTTGGAAGTTCCTGACTTTGCAATGAGAATAACCAAGAAACAGATTTGGGAATGGCTTGGCACAAACCCGTCAGTATGAGATCACTGACAAGCTACAAATCCTTAATAAACTACCGAAATACTAAACATTCTCAGTTAAAAATGACCTGCTCTAAAATCATGCTATCCTAGTGGAAATGGCTTGGTTGTTTTTGAAATAGCTCTGCTTTGTTTTAAATGCAGAAATTAAAGTTTAACAGCTGCAAGGAGATTCCAGTTCTCTGCATTAATCCTGTGGATTCTCATCTCATCTGATTTGCTGAATGATTTGCAGGATGGCATTTCCCACTGCTCCCTGCCACTGCCCAGCACCTGGGAGGTTCCCATGCTCCACACAAAGTAGAGGTTCCTTCAGTTTTCTCTATAAACACTCAGCCTGGATTCATTTTACACAACATGGCTCATTCTCAGCTTCCATGCAGGCTTGATTTGTAGTTCTTGGTATGCAAATAACTGCCCAGGGCTCCAAGGGTCTTGCTTGCACTAAGAGAAGAGTTTTAGTCCCAGGGATCTACTTATGTAATTCCTCTTCTAATTATTCCTCTCTATTTACTCTCAACATCCACATCACTGATACATCATTAGCCAGACATGAAAACAGCCCCAACTAACAGGTTTTTGTCTGTGACTGAAACTGAGCTACTCTTTTAACTGAGAAATGGATGAAAAACCTTGAGACTGGAAGGGAGAACTAAAAAAGCCCAACAGTGAAGTCTTCAGTTATCATATGCGGGAATATCAAAATTGCAGATGTCTGTGAAAAGTTTCATTGATAAGAGCTTCCTCTAGATACCTTCAATAATTTCAGTAATGAGATTCTCTAGGAATTTTATCCTAGAATTGTTTCCTAATTTCCCATGTACACCAGTTGCAAATATATCTAATTTCCAGTTAGCATAAAAATAAACCCAAACCAAAGCAAAAAGAATTGTTTAGGCCACCTTGCATTTGAAAGCCCAGGTTTAAAATTCAGTACACTGAAGTTTTAACTGCACATAAGGCAAGTAACTTCTGCTGGCACCTTCTGTTAGATTATAAGCCAAGTTTCTACTTAGCTTTTCTATTTTCGGACGCCAGCTGTGTTTTCTTGACTAAAAACCAGCAAGAATCTTACAATTTCCCATGCTCAAAGAGCTACACTTCACTCTTTTGGTTTCTCTAATCTGGCTTTCTGAACTTCTGAATCCAATAAGCTGGATTTCCTGAAATCCAGAAATTTTAAAAACATAAGTATTTATCAGTAACAGTTAATCTCCTGAAAGACTTGGAGGTGAAGAATAAACAGACAAAGAGTGAAAATTACCAAACCTCACAGTATTACAGGGAGACAAAAGTCATTAACCAGCCCAAACAAGGAGAGAAAGGTGGTTTTAAAATTATGCTTAAGTCCCTCCTGTAGCAATTTCATAGCATTGATCAACCAGCAACTAAAAAGCCATCCTGAGCCACCTCTATCTCTGCTGGGGACAATCTGAATACAGCAAGAAAGCCACTGTTGTACCTTCCAAATTAAGTAGGTCCAAGAGTGTAGTAAAATTTAATAACAACAGATGCCATAAAAAAACCCTATACGTGAAAAAAACAAAATCAACAGAGACAAGTGGAACAGTAGGATGCATTTACACCAACCCTGAAATCAGCTCACCACACACTGTTCATGTGCAGGGGCCCTGGAGAGGTGCAGATTGCAGAGGGATTAGTAACACAGCAGGTTTCAAAAACAGATTGTTATGATGTTTGCAGGAAAAAAATAAGGGGCCCTGATTTCTGACAGGATGCTTTTGATAAATGAGTCTCCCACAGGCTGGAGCTATTCTTAGTAGTCTACAAGGAGGCAAAGAGAAAAGGCAGTTGATCACCTGTTGCCATGTAAACCAAATTGAATTCATCATACAGTTTCTCCAGAAGGGTTTCAGATGTGAAGGGACAGACCAGGAGGAATGCAGCTCTGATCACATCCCTCTGCCATGCACGTCTGGCACAGCATTTAATCCTTTTAGATTGGGCCTGCATAGGCAGCAGCACAGCCAACTGCTGTGTGAGGAGAACAATGTTCCCTTCCTCGGGGACACAGGAGCACAGGAAGTCCCTTAATTAGTCTCTCAGGCCACTGAGCTTTCAGAACAGACGCTTTGCCAATTAATTTTCCCTCATCTGCAGCAACTCCTGTTGTTAGGTTTTCTTTCAGTTCCCTTCACCCATCACAACCACCTGCTGTTTGCAGAGCAAAATCATCATTCTTTTTTCTTCTTCTTCTTTTTCTTCTTCACAGCTCCTGGCAGCACAGAGTTCTCTCTGTGATTGCTGTTCTGTCTCTCCTGCTGGCCATTTGCAGACACCAACCGAGGCAAATCTTTGCAGATCTGGTCACACTCTGCTGAGTCTATTATTTTCTCTTGAATATTATTCTCTCTCCTAATTTTCTTCTTCTTCTTTTTTTTCTGGTTGGGCTCTACATAGCCCTGACTCTGATCCTGGGACAATGCAGGGAAAGCACTTTGCTTCAGAATGTCTGCAGCTGACACGGCAGCCTCCTGGCACCTCTGCCACTCTTGGTCACTGTCTGTGTCACTGGAAAGGTAACAAGAGGGAAGGAAGTTGTGGTGCATTTCTGCCTTGAATTCACCCAAAAGTTGGACAGCAGAGTAATCTGAGATGAGAACAGACTATAAACACCCAATGGCTCTGGGGCTCCCACACCTACAGTCTGCTTTTAACCAGTCTGAAGGCCAATGTGTGCTTTACACACACTAGGAGGGGAAAGAAAATCCTCCACAAACATTTCTCATTCCCCAGCACTAAAAAAGAAACAAAATTCTGGTCTAGTCAAATATAAGAGTCATAAATACACACTTCTCAAGCTCTTCAGCTTCCTATTCCCTTGTGGGAGTCCCAGCTGCCTCTGAAATGTGGGATGCAGCAGTACTGAGGAGCAGAGCAGCTGCCAGCACCTCACCTGGAGCTAACTGGCCTCCTCCTCCTCGCTGCAGGGCAAGGCTCTGGTTTCCCACAGTCTCCAGGGACAGAGGAAGAGAAGAGGCGAAAACCTGAAGTGTGGAAAGGGGGGTTTTAGACAGAATATAAAACAGAGGTGGAAGCAATCAACTGCTGTTCTCCTGGAAGGCTCAGTGCTGTGTCTGTATTTCCACAGTGCTTGACAGCAATTATTTGGGACTGTGTGGCACAGAGGTCAGAGCTACAGAGTAACAGCTCTCACAGACAGCACCAGGAATTCTTTCAGTGCAAATGTTTATTTGTCACTTGGAGGTACAGCTGGTGATGGACAGAATCCATCCCAGCTGTCAGCAATCAACAGTCACAAAACAGCCACAATGGCTGAGCCTGGAACTCACCATCATCTTCAGAGTCAGACGGTGCCAGTGAAGTCTGGGATGGTCCTGATGAGTCCTTCAAGACAGTGATGAAACTAAACAGAAAACCCCAGTCAGATCTCAGACAGGTTTGTGCAAACTGAGCTACACTTGGGTATTTCTGGGAAACAAGACTAGAGGGAGATGTTGCATAGATCCTTTTGTGTTAGTGAGGCTGCCTCAGCTCCCTGTTTCCAGAGCAGACCAGGCCTTCTCTCCTCAGCAGTGCAAGCCACAAGAACAGTTTAAAAATAGCATTTCTAAAGCCAGCTCTGAACAGCAGGAATTCCAGTTCTCCAGGGTCATACTTGTACAACAGACAGAGTGGCAGCCCAGTACCAGGCATTCTGCCAGCACAGCCCTGAATCAGGTACTGGTGAAGGTTGTAAGAATAAATCAAAGATTCTCCTGCCAGCCTTTACATGATGGAAGTCTCTTTTCTCCCCACAAGATGTCCACCACAGAGGCAAATGCAGACAAGCAGTGCTGCACAGAGAGTTTTGACCAGATGGCCACAGCACATCAGCAAGGTTAGGTCACAGAATATTGGAAGCTTGTACTTAATACAGGCATGAAGGAGACAAGATGTTGAATTTCCTGGGTTTAGCACACAAACACATCAGTGTAACTGACCCACAGAACACAGGTTTCAAGCCTTGCATACCTGTCTAGCATGGTTCCCAGTTTCTTTGCAACGTGTGCTCTGAACTCTGGAGTTGTCTGGAGCTCATTGTCACCCTCCTGGCGGCCAATTGCCTCACGCCCGTTTGAAATAAGAACAAGGATTATCTCTTTCAAGGCCAGTAACATCTGGCCCTCTCACCCAAACCCTTAAAAACACATTATTCTGTTCAGATTTAAGCATAATTTCAGATTATGGTTGGACTAATTCCCCAAACAGAAACTTCCCCTTTCAGTATGAAGTATCACAAAGAAGAAAGCAGCATAAATATTACACATTATTTTTTTCTTTAGGGAAACATTAAGTCTGAAACCAGAAGCAAAAATACCTCAGGCTTGGCTGATCTTTAGGCTGCAACCGATCCTTTCTAAAGCCCCCTGAAAAGAAAGTAGCAAAGGCTCATTTAGAGACCTGCGGCCAGGACCTCTCTAACCCTCGTCAGGAACATGTTAGAGCATAAAGAACAATGCCTGCAAGACAGCCCTGGCCCAGCTGCAGGGAGAACAGCTACGAGGGGAAAGGGGCACTTCCCTCAGGCCAGGACTGACGGGAGGGGGCTCTGGGCCCGGCTGGAGGCCCGACATGGCCTCGGGAGGGCCAGGCAGAGCCCCCTCCATTTCTGACACCGGCCCCGCGGCACAGAGGGATCCCCGCGGGTCAGGATGAGCCGGAGCGGAGCGGAGCAGCGGGGAAGAGACGGGAGGGGCCGGACCGGAGCCGCGGGGCGGGGAAGAGAAGGGAGGGCACGCTGCAGCGGGGGTGCAGAGCCCAGCCTGTCCGCCGCCTCTCACCGCTGCGCGGCTCCGCCCGCGCCGCCGCCAGCGCGGGGCAGTCCCAGGCAGCCTCCCGGAACCGCGCGGCCACTTCCCCGCCGCTCTCCGACTCCGAGCTGCTGTCGCTGTCCGAGCCCGAGCGGCCGCTGGGCGCCGCCATCTTGCAAGCGCGGGACACGCTGGGCGCTGTGGTCCGGCCGCGGCGCATGCCGGGAGGTGTAGTCCGGCCGCATGGCATGGCGGGAGCTGTAGTCCGACACGGCTCCCATAACCGACTTTCACAAACTCATCCTTGTTTTAATCAGCTTCTGGAGGACACGGTTCGTGTCTTTGGGGCCCTGGTAACTTTCTAATCAGTTACTACACTGACCTGAATATTTTTGCTGGATGCAGAAGCTGTGTGATGCTTTGCTGACAGGCTGAAAAGGAGACAGCTGCTTTGTTGATTTTCACTGCTCTTCAGGTAGGACTGCTGTGTGTGTTCCTCATGCCATCAGCACTGTCACATTACGTGCTACATTTTCATCTCAACTTGAAATTTTTTTGGTGTGATACCATTTTGCTGTGGGTTTTGCCAAGCCTACGTGCTGCTGAAAGCAGCAGGAAGACTCTGTATACATGATTTTATCCTCCTGGACACTTCCTGGCTTGCACCTTCCAACCTTTCCACTAGAACTGTGCAGGCTCAGGCCACCTGGCAGCAGATAGGCCACTGACAATATCCTTGGGCTCTTTCTTGGCACTGGCTTCCCTGTGTTTCTTCACCGTTCCCTCATGAAACTCACTTTCTTTAGTGGAAGACCTTGGGTTTAGGATTCACCCATTCTCCACTGTGTAAAAACCAAGCAATTTTGGGCTGTCTTGTACCTCGGAGTCCTCAGAGCTGGGACAAACGCTCCAGAGTGCCTTCTTGGGCAGGTCACCTCTTCTCCCTCGCTTTGGTCCCTCTGTTTCTTTGGTTTCTCAAAACTGTATAAATACCTTTATCAAGCTCTAAATACCTTTATCAAGCTCTCTGTTTCCATCCTGGAGTTTTACAGCTCAGATTCTTTCCATCCTGAATCTGTTTCTCAGCTCAGATCCTTAACACTCTACACTCCTAAGTCAACAATTTGTTTCCCTCAAACTTCCTTCCTTCCCCTTCCGTCCTTCCTTCCTTTTCCGTCCTTTTCTGTTCTGCCTTCCTGCTGGGCCCGAGCATTCGCTACGAACTTCTCGCCGTCCCCGCGGCCGCCGTTTGACGCGGCCCGCACCGTTCCGGGCAGCCGAGCTGCCCACGCCCGCAGAGCCGGGGGTCGCGGCGGGGCCGAGCAGCGCGGCCCGTTCGCCCCGGAGGAGCCCGAGGTAACGAGCGCCCGTGGGGCCGGGGCTGAGGAGGGGCGGCGGCGGCGGGCGGGTGTCGCTGCCCGCGGCCCCCCCGGCCCGGTTGGCGGAGCCACGGCGGTCGGTGGGGCGGGGGCCGGGCCCTTCCGCCGGCCGCGCTTCCGGGCGGTCAGGTGACGGGGCCCGGCGGAGCGGCGGCTCGGCTCGGGCGCTGCGGGGAGCCCGGACCCGCCGGTGAGCAGGGCCGGGCCGGGCGGGGCGGGGGACGGTAAGGGGAGCCGGGGCCGGGCTGCGGCTCTGAGGCCGATCCGGGCCGGAGCCGCCTGCGCCCGCTCCAGCCGAGCGGAGCGGGGACGCCGCGGGACCCCCCGGCCTCGCCCGGTGCCTCTGGAGCCGCGGAGCCCCCGGCGGGCCCGGCGCGGGTCCCCCGAGGGTCCCCCGAGCTCCGTTCCGCGGCCCGGCGCTGCCGGCCGGGGTTTGGCCCGGAAGCGCCGAGCCGGGGCCGCAGGTGCCCGGTGTGCGCTGTGCGGGGCCGGCTCCGCTGGCTCTGGCTCGGGGTATGTCGAGAGGCGTCAGCTGCTGGTGCACGACATTGGTTGTATTATATATTAATTCTCGCTTCTTCTTAAATCATGTCTGTTGTATATAATAACTGTTGTATTTGATATTTTTACGTTTGCTGCTAACCTGAGTTAGCCAGGCACGTCTGTCTCACACAGGAAAACCATGGGGCAGCATTACCCAACTGGTTATATTCCTTTTTTTTTTTTTCCTTTGGACTTTGCGAGTTAAGAGGATAAAATCTTCGTTGAAAGATTTTTCTTGGAGTCTATATTAAACCTTTATGGAATGGATTAAAAAAAAAATCAATTGGTTTAATCACCTGAGGGTTTTTACTGTTTGCATTTACAAGGTACATGGACTCCTCGGTGTTCCTGAAACACCCAAGCTGGGCCCTGGCAGCACTGCCTGTAACACAGATGTGCATTGCAGAATCCCAGTTAATGAAACCAGGCCAGGCAAGGCTGGAAGGCAAATGACTGCTTTTGCAAGAGCAAGTGAGCACATGAATTAATGTTTTGGGACCACTTTGTGGTGATATTAAGAAGCAGGTGCCCAATGCTGTACAGGTTACAGGAAGTGAAAAGATGAACTCGAGAAATGTTTCCAAGGAGTTAAAATGTAACATGTTTGGGGGACAGAGAAGAGCAAAAAGGTAGTGAGAGATAAATATGTATTTAATGATTAACAACAGGACAGTCGTGTTAGTTAAAATATCTAAAATGACTGTCAAGAAGTCAGTACACTTCTAGACACTGTCAGCAGTTTTCAGCTAAGATTACCTGGTTGTACTTGAAGCCCAGGCAATTGTAATATGTTAAGTATCAAGATTGTTGTTAAACTTATGAGTGGGCATTTTTATATAAACTCTCGGTAGTAGTTTTAGATTTAAATTGATTTCCTAATGTGAATATTCCTTTTGTAAATATTTTAAAGTGTCAGAAAATGACAGTATTACCTTAGGGATAAGAAAAACACACTGATAAATCTTCTTTTTGATTTAAACTGCAAAAGGTTCAGGAACTAAATCAGAACTTGTTTCATAAACAAACTAGATTTGGATTATTTAAATTTCAGTAATCTTAGCTAAAATAAAATTCATTAGGAAAGAAATATGGAAAAGGGTCTTTCCTGTGGAATTGACATCCAACCGTGCTGCTTTTTTTAACTTCATTGTTATGGCAAAGAGGAACCAGCTTTGGGTTTTGCTAATAAACTAACCAGACTTCTGTATCCTCACCAGAACTTTGTCTCATTGTTCATGAAAAAAATTAAATACTTGAGACATCCTAATGTCGTGCTGTGAACACATATTCCAGGACTGTTCTGTATAGGTGAAATTAGCTTCTAATTCATACTCCCTCTTTGCCTTTCCCAGGTTGAATTAATGTTCACCTACTGTTTCCAGCAGATTTTTTTTGTTTACCTTAACTTATGGTGAAAACTCCTCTAGGCTGTCCTGAAGTGATTTTGCTGTGTTTTGAGGCTGGGCAGTGAACTTTGGCAAATGCAGTCACTGGCTGAGTTCAGAAGTGTGATCTTTGACAGCACCACTCAGCTCGTGCTTTCCTGGTGTGCAGTAGATTTACAGATGAAGTTTTAAAAACATTAGAGGGAAATTTCTTTTTTACTGGCTGTTAGTGAGATCTGTACCCAGCACATGGACATTCCCAGGCCCCTGCACTTACTCTTGCCGTGGATCTCCTGTGCTCTTGGCTGTCATCCAGCTCCTTTTGGAGTTCCACCCTCTCAGGTACCTCCACTGCCATGTCTTCATGCTCCACCAGGTTTCTGTATTTATTTAGGAAGCCTACTTGCAAATGAGTTCCTTGTTTCTTAACTGTTCATCTGCTGCCACTCCTGATTCTTGGATGTAGTAAAGGTCAGTCGTTTTTCAGAACAACCTGTTGGGATATAACATAGGGATTGTGGTTTGAAGGAAATAAACAGCTAATCTAGATGGCTTTTATGGAACAAAGATACCATTTTCCTGTAAATATGTAGAAATCAAAGAAGAAAGAGAAAAGGCAAGATCTCTGAATGCTGGCAGTTAGGTATCAGCTGATTTTTATATCCTTTCCCTTGTTCTGTTTGTTGCTCATCATGCCTCCAGGGTTGATTTGGAGACCTGATCTGAAGGATAAGTTTGTAGCAAACCTTGACTGGCATCCCTCAATTATGTTTACTTAACCCCAGAAGTCGTGTTCTATCCCAGTGTACTTACTCACAGTCTTCCTCCCAAACTCCAAAGAAAATTGAGAATTGGGTTGGTTTGGCCTGTTGTGATAGTTGTTGATCTTTTTAGTTTGTGATTTGCTTATGGTTTGTTGGGTTGTTTTTTTCCCTATAGAGTTTTGTCTCAGAGTTCAAGAAGTATGAGTGACTGTTCAATTTTGAGCTCATTCTGTGCTCAGAACAAGTTCCATTTGCAGTTGAATTTGTACTTTAGGACTCAGAGTACACTCACAAGCTACACAATGTATGATTATCAAATGTAAATTTGGCCCCTGGAAGCTGTTCCACATTTGCTTCTTTGTGTATGTGCAGATGTACAGAGCCCAGCAGCACCTGTTACAGACCAGTTATGTTAAACTGGGATATTCCAGGGATAAAAGCAAATGTTTGAGAAGGCTTTTATTATTTTTACTGTTGCCTTTTGCTATGGTTTTGATATTTTAAATTGGTTATGTCCTAACAGGTCACTGGGCCCCATCAGCCAATGAACAAATACCTAGGAGAGGATCCCCAGCAGAGATTAAGGAATGACCTGTTCTAGGAAAGGAGATTCAGTGCCTGTTGCATTATGTCATTCTAATCTTTCTTCTGTCTCAGCCATCTTTATTCCATATCATTACTGATATTTCTCTGGATTTCTTTGTCATCCTTCTTCATAACATTTTATTTATTTGTTGTAGTTACTAAAACTGAGGTTTTTTTCAGTAAGTTTTTGTGGAGATACAGATTTTATCTTTTTGACAAGTCTTCAGATTCATTGTGTTAATATACAGAATTTAATTTGGAAAAAGGAACTTTTTTTTCCACATTGCTATTAGGGACTCAGAATTTATTTATTTGCCTCTTGTACACTTCCTGTCCTTGTGTTATATGTCAAGATGTTTCTTGTGACCATTCTGTAAAGGGATGCAGTATTTTTACTGTGTGTTGAACTCCTTGGCTTTAAGGAGGTTTTCTCAATTTTTATATTAATATATGTAGGTCCAAGTTGATAAGTTTTCACTTGAACTACTGAGCAAGACAGGCTGAAGATTCTGGTTGTAAGGATGTGTGAAAAATCCAAGTGTCTTTGGCATACAGTTTGTAGGTTGGCAGCGTTTCCATCTGCCTTGCTCTAACATGGATTTTAATTTTGTACAAGGAACTGGGTGTAGATGGAGTTGTGGTGTGAAATGCTCAGAGTCAGCACTACTGAAAGCAGCGTATGTTGAAGTGCAGCATCTGTGAATACAAATCTGCCCTTCTGGGACACTGTGCAAAATGATGTAACGGAGTGAAAAAGCTCTGCAGAGATAGATTTCACCTGCTGGAACTGAGGCTTTGCTGCAATACTTCCCAAGGCCCGGGTGTGATGCTTTCCTGGCTGTGCAGTGGGATGGTGTTGTAGGAAAAAAGCTGTTGGCAATAACAGCTGGAGATCCTGAGGCTTTAGTTTGCTGTCCTGCACCTGAGCTGCAGCTCTGCTACAAAGAGGCAACACTAAGGAAAGCCTTTAGTGCTTGGGGGGTAAGTTGGAAAAGAAATTTCCTTCTGAAAAATTCAGGTTGCCCTTTGAAAATACTTCACTGTTTGTACACTTGCAAAAAGCTCAGATAATCTGAATCACCTGTTTGTTTCTCACAGCTTTATCTAAGTATTCCTGTTCCTGCAGCTTCAACATAATGTTAGAGTTTCATGAAAAGCAGAGTGAAATATTTTAAACATTTTTATTTTAGCGAATTAATTTCTGTAGCTACTGAAACTCTCTTAGTTCTTGGATTACAAATCTTGTACTGGTAAAAGTATTTCTAGAAGTGCAAATGCCTTGTGCTGAGTCTCAAATTTTTAGGTACTGTGGAGTTTATATATCAAGGAATTACACTGTAGAGGTTGTTGCTACTGAGATAAAATAAATGCTGTTCTTTGGTAAATATGATTATGTTAATGAGAGACAAGAGCATGGAAGAACAATTCAAGCACATTAAGGTAAAATTTTCAACACTTGTGCATTACTACCTTACTACTAGGTTATAAATGTTTAATAGTTTGAAAATACTAGAAATGTTTGATAGTCATTTCAACACTGCTGTGATAGCACCTATGTACTGCTCAGGAGAGAATTCAAGTTCTAAGCCACCTTTGCTTGCCATTATTGTCATTAATATTCCAAACTAATGAACATTGGACTTAAAACCCTGCATTGCCAGTCTGTTAAAACTGTGAATTATTTAATTATTAAATTCTGCTTCTGACTGCACTCTCAGTTATAAGTTGTGTTGAATTTTGGAAGAGCATGGGGAGCTCATTCTCCTTACAGCAAATGGCATTTATGAGAAAATACAGGGGGGTTGTTTTGGCTGTGGATGCTTATCAGTGACAGTAAAATGCAGGTCACACTATGGGACTGTAAAGTAGCTTAGTCTCTAAAAAAAGATCCCTCTTGGCTACGTTAAACTAAAACCATCAACAACAGGATTCAAGGGCTTCTTAGATAAGTCACTACCAGTTTGGAATGGGGCCAGAATGTTCATAATGCCAATAATTGTTTAGGTTTGTTTGGTTTTTTCCCTTTCTCACAGCTAGGATTCCAAGAGGAAAATTTTCTTGACTTTGTTTGGGCAGTCCTTGAGGATGGCAAGCAAAGGACCCACAGCTTCTGCATCAACAAAGAGCTCCAGTACTGGAGGGACCAGTGGCAGCAGTAGCAGTAATGGTTCTGGGGACAACACTAATCAGGACAACACTTTTGAATGCAACATCTGTTTAGACACTGCCAAGGATGCAGTTATCAGCTTGTGTGGGCACCTCTTTTGGTAAGTGCTGCAGCCCCACACACCAGCCTGAACACCATCTGTCTGATCCCATAAAAACCTGGGGTGTTTGTCATTCTAGAGGAGAGACTGTGGCTTTGGTTTAGGAGGAGCTTGGGTTTGCTCCTCAGCTGCTTTTCTTTGCTTGTATTCCAGGGAATGGGTTTCCTGTGTCCTAAACTCCCTGTGCTGCTGGATTATTGTGTAAAAGCAAACAAACAAGCAGCCCCACACAGACAGTTCAGTGCTCATTGATACTGTTTGCTTATGTGTGTTATTTTATTTGTGCTGTCTGGCCTAGCACAGATATGTTCTTTAGACCTAAATTCCTTTCTGACCTCTGCATACCTAAACCTGGATATGAATCTGGGTTCTGTAGGCCAAATTGTAGTTTCTCCTCCAGGCTTGCTCTTTTTTCCTTTGAAACCATAAAAAAAGAAAAAAAAAAAATAGTCAATAAGCTTTTACATTGGGCAATTTCTCTTTTCCCATGATATTGCACTTGTGTTAGGAACTTTTTAATTTGACTTAGAAGTAATGTACAGCACAGATATATGTGCATAATTTCTGATGTGTGTAACTCAGTTTGAATATACCCTTTCTTGAATGTGAAGAAGTTAAGGATTGACATGGCCAAATGTGGGGGGGTTGGAGTTTATTTTACAAAGTGGGCTAAATCCTTAATTAAAAGAAGCCTGAAAGTGTTTTTCTCCTGTGTAAATATACATAACATCTGAAAATCCAGGATTTTATTTGGGGAGATGGAAAATCACTGGCTTAGGGCATGTTAAGATAAAATAACATTAAATTATTGTACAAAAGGATTTGGAGTAATGGAACCTTAAAAGTACCAGGTGTCTTGTCTGAATGGTGTTATTGAGACCATTTTGAAAGCAGATGGCTGTTTAGCAGTTTTATCTTGTAGCTTGTTTGTCTTTGACCCTTTTTTAATTTGCCATAGCAATTTAATCTGTTTAATGGGAATTTCTCTGCCCTGAGCAACTGAGTCTGATCTCAATAGCTGACCCTGCTCTGAGCATCAGGTTGTACTAGAGGTTACCTGAGGTACCATGCAGCCTTAGTTATTCCATAATTCTGTGAATGTGGCTGATGTTTCAGCTCAATTTCTAGGATCCTAAACTCTCATTACTGACATCTTGCTCATTTGCATCTTGGCTCTGGGATAGCTTTTCATGGTATCAGAAGAGAAAATCTGTACAATAAGCCCTAAGAATAATGCAGCTTCTGTCTGGGCCTTTGGTTTGGATGAGGACCCAGGAGTGGGAGATGCACAGAACCACATTAGGAATTTAGATTGTGTAACCTGAAAAAAAACCAGTGGAGATCAGTCTTGGTCTGTGTTTGCAAAAATGGTTTTAATGGGAGGCTGCAGAACTGGCCCAGCTGGATTCCAGGATTCTGTTGTCACCAAGCTGCATTATCCCTGTACACTGCACATTTGTCATATAGAGTTCAGTAACTAATTCTATTTTCCTCCCTTTTTCTGCTCTGTGAACAAATTGTCCTGGGAATGCTCACAGTTGGCCTTGTTTACATCAGGTAAGACAGGTTTTCTTTTACTTTGTCTTTCATCAGCTCCAGTTGCTCAATAAAGCCCTTGGTTCTCTGGAGTATCCCCCTCTTTTCAAATGTGCTTTTCTCTCCAGGGCAGTCACAACCTGCTCATGCAGCTTAATGTGCAACAGCTTGCAATCTGCTCTTTGAGCAACAAGAAAACTTAGATTCTGTTCCACTTGCCTCCACTTCTGAGTTTCTTAAACGCTGCATAATTGCAGTTTTGGTACAATTACTGTTGGAGCTTGCAGGGTTTAGTTTGCAGGTTTAAGTGCTGAGTGTACTTCTCTTTGCATACATAGTGTTTTACACTGTGGTGCCATTATAGAGAAGGTGGATGACAGGAAGGCCATCTGTGCTAGCCCTTGCCTTTGCAGGACTGCTCATTCTCTTTAGTTCTTATTTTACTCCAGTGGAGATCTGAATGTGTCCACATCAGCAAGCTGTTCCCACCAGAACAACAGCCAAAGTGCCAACTCCACTTTGGGGAGTACTTGGCACTTAGTAAAGTATTTTGCTCCAAAACTTTGTGAGAAATTGCTAAAGTCTTTCTGCCTGCCTGCAAATTATGTTTGCATAGTTATTTTTGTGGTATTTTAGTAGTTTTCTTATAATTTCCTTTCTTTTAGTGGCTAGAGACCAGGCCAAACAGACAAGTGTGTCCTGTATGCAAAGCAGGAATCAGTCGAGATAAAGTTATTCCTCTCTATGGAAGAGGTAGCACTGGGCAGCAGGACCCCAGGTAAGAAACCTAAATGCAACTATTTTCATTTGAAAATTAAAGAGGAAACTGTAGTTTAAGGTCTTAAGATTAAGCTGTTAAAGTGCTGGATTCTCAGTTTTAAATACTTTGTCAAAAGACATAGATGTGATATTTCTGCCAAATATTTCTGGCTTTTTCAGGGCCTGGGTTTGCACACATTTCTTATTCTTGGCAATTCATTTTAATTTGAATCAAGTGTTAATTATCAGTTACAAGTGGCAGGTTGCAATGATTGTTGTCTGACCAGAGAAGCTTATATTAAATGTTCACATCCTCAGTTTTTAGCCTTTGCAATGGGTATTTGTTATTCAAAAGTGCAGCGTTATGTGCTGCTGAAGGTCCAAAGCTGCTGTTGGCTCTCTCACACACTGCTCCAGCCCTGCTGGATGGCCCCAGGACACTGTCAGGAGACTGTTTTTTATGGTGGTTCTGATTACTAGCCAGTCTACTGCAGATACTGTTGTCACATGTCCTTGCACTTGAGCTAATTTCACAACTTCCTGCAGAGAGAAAACTCCACCACGACCCCAAGGACAGAGACCTGAACCAGAGAACAGAGGGGTGAGTGATCAAACGAGCTTGAGTGGTTTAGTTGTTATTGGTAGTGGTATTTATTCATCCTGGAGGACATAATGTGTGTGAGAGAACCTGCATGAGGATCCTGCAGCTTACACATCCTGCTCTTCCCCAGCTGGCTGTTCATGAATCATTGAGAGCTGTGGTGTGGCACAGAGCTCCATTCCTGTGGTACCTTTAGCATCCCAAAGAACAGCCCGACTTGGATCATGCTTCATGAACACAGCCCAGTGTGCTACCACTGGAAAAGCTTTTCATACTTGATTGTTCTCCATGTTCAAATACAAGGAACACTTTGCTTTGAAAATTCTTTGTGCAAGTGTATATCTGTCAAAACTTATGTGTCATTAATTAATCCACATATTAATTTAGATTTTTGACACTGACACCTGCTTCTCTCATTTCAATGGGATGTTACTGTACCATGGCATTACAAGCAAGAGAAAGCCAATATCTGTTGGATACGTGATTTGAAGAGGGATCTGTGGTTTTGTTGAGGAGATTACATAGGGTGAATGTAAACAGAAGCTGGCACAGATGGAGCAGCTGTGGGAGTGGGTGGTAGGACAGACCACAGTGTTCTTCAGCACGGTGGCAGCAAGCATGACCTGATGAAACAATGGCACATTTCCATGTAACTCAGCCTGAGCTCCTTGGAGAGGATTGTCTCCCTCATGCTTTGAGCAGACAACTCTGCAGGGTATGATTAAGGTGCATTTCTGTAGTGAATGTATTGGGAGCTCAGCTGTTCTCTTTCACTAGGGCATTGCTGCCTTATTAAATCAGCTCCTGTACCTTACTTGAACCTTTCTGCTGGTGCTGCTGTAAATCAGAGGGATGGGGTATGAAGGCAGTGGTGCTGTTCTCTTCAGATCCTGTGCCTGCCACAGAGAGCTCTGCTGTCCCTCAGAGTTAGTGGCAAAATGCTTGAGTATGGTCAAAAGACCAACTCCTCAAACCAAGGCTCAACCAAGAAACATTTGGCTTTTATCAAATCAGTAAAATCAGCTGTCCTCCCATTGTTGGTGGTCATAAACCAGAGGGTCTTTCAGAACTGGTATCACTGCTTTAATCCTGAGGTGAGAGGACAGAATGCTGGATTACAGAACTGTGGGCTCTCCACAGTGTTTAGGCATGACACAAGCCCCTAGATTGACACACAGTCAGTTCTCAAGCAGCACACTGCTTCTGCAGAGCAGGATTCCTCTCAATTCAGAACACTTATCATTTGAATTGATGTGGTATTTTAGTTTGGATCCCACAGGGTCAGTGTTATTGCATTGTAACTTCCTTTTTTCCTCCTTTCCTTATGTCTTACGTTCCTAACCCAGGTGATTTTGTCACCTTAATTTGAGTCCTCATGGTAAATTTTTTTGTGGTTTTCCTATGCATCCCACTGGCAATTTATCATTCCACTGAGTGTTTAACTGATGCACATGTATCACAAAAAGCAATTTAGGTTATTTTCTTAAGTACCTTTCCTATATGGCTAACAGCTTTAAACACATGATACATTGTTAAGACATTCTAAATAGAATCTTTCTGTCGATTTTGATACGTTGGCAGATACCTTCTATTTTAAGTTGAGAAAGGTTACAGTTGAGAAACACTGTCCTAATTTGTGGCTCCCAAACAAGAACTGCAGTTGCTAGTTTTCATTTTCTCAAACCTTTGGGTTGCTGGGTGAATTTGCTGCTGTCTGAAACATTTTAAATCCAGGAGAGCCAAGGGGATATCTACAAAAGTGTGTCAGACTGAAAGTTGCCAGACAGCTTGGCCCTCCTTCAGCTGTGGGAAAGCCAGTGAGAGAGAATGTCTGCACATCCACAAAATACCCTGAAATAGGCTCTAAGTGATTGTTACCTGTTTTGTCTTCTGCTCTTTGTTCTCTGCAGGGATTCCAGGGCTTTGGGTTTGGTGATGGTGGCTTCCAGATGTCCTTTGGAATTGGGGCGTTTCCCTTTGGTATATTTGCAACAGCCTTCAACATAAACGACGGGCGACCTCCTCCAGGTACCAGGGATCCTCCTCCTGTCCCATCACAGACATTTTCCAAACTCCTAAATAACCTGCTAAATGGCAAAACATTCTGAACAGTAACCAGTGTTGTCAATAGAAACAGGAAACGAGGGCAAAACCGCTCTCTAGAGAACATGGTCTGTGGCTGGTATGTTTTGTACACAGACTCATAAAAGAAGCAAGTTTGTAATTTCCATATAATTTGCTGAAGGCCCTCCTGGGAGACCAGTGACTGCAGAGGAACAGTGGCACTGGAGACTATTCTCCTCTAATTCAGATGTCTCCTCTGGTACACCAGCAGACTTCTCCTGAAAAATGAGACAAATTGGACTAGACTTTCTAATAATAATAAAAAGGAGTCACTGGGGGTGTATGAAGGAGACCCAGATTTTAAAAACAGCAGGAAAGGACCATTTCCTGAAAGATGAGAAGGAAAAATTTAAACTAGTGCTCTGTACCACAAAATTATGAATGCAAAGATTGTCTCAGAGATAAATTTCTGAAAAATGAACAGTCATCTGTATTCTACAAGAAGTAACTTTGCACTGAAATTACTTCATGTTTTTGATTAACAAAAACCAGTTGGGTTACTCCAAGGGGTGACCTTGCTCTCTAACAATGAAGTTTTCCCTAGAGAACCTCCTCCCCATCTTCAGTGTAGACAAACTGAATCTGTTTTGGACAAGAACACCTACTGGCCAGGGTTTTTTGAACTTACTTTGTGAAAGGTTATGCCTGGCAAATCTTCCACCGTGTCATATGGCACAGGAATTATGAGGAACAAACTCATTCTTCACATCACACCAGCATTGCCATGGTCCTGTGCTGTCCTTGGGTCAAATTATCTTCCCTGTTAATTATAGTTCAGTGTCCCCTGAAAATCTGCTGGGGGTGGGACTGAACTAAGGAGTCCTGCTTTGAGACATTTGTCTTCCTTCTGATCTGCCCATGCAGCCAGCCAGGCTGAGGGTAGGAAGTAGCAATTTTCTCACCAAGCAGATTCATTCTTAGCAGATTTTTCAATGTATGAACATACTATATTCAGATTATACACAATCCCAGAGAAAAGGAGGAAGCTGAACTGTTGTTTGTTTTTTTTACTTCCTGTTTTCCAGCTGTTCCAGGGACTCCTCAATATGTGGATGAGCAGTTCCTTTCCCGCCTCTTCCTGTTTGTGGCACTGGTGATAATGTTCTGGCTGTTGATTGCATAAGTCTTTTCCGTTATTCTATATATTCATGACCAACAAGGCCACTGAAACAGTTACAAACTGCATCCCCATCCCATTTTAAACCTCTTGGTGTCTGGTTCCATAGCTACCTATGGGCTTCAGGAATTGGTGGTACCACAGCACAATGAGGAATCTCACATTTTGCACCAGAGTCGGTAATTAAAACATTCATTTAAAAGTGTATTTCAGCTCAGATATCTTGTACAACAGGTTCCTGCCACAAACCATGGGCCTAGAGTTGAGCTGCGCTCCGAAAGGGAGTGCTGCTTTGAAATCCTGTGCCAATCAGTGACACCAGGCCTGTGGGATACACAGTTATCCCAACAGACTGGGCAGGTAAGGAAACTTCTCCAGTGTGACCAGTATCTCCTGCTTTGCAACCACGATGGATCTGCCAGAGCTGCAGATGTTATTTAATGTCTCCATCAACATCTGACCTTCTCCAGGAAATCATCCCCAGCACTGCTGGGACTCTCTGGGGCACAGCACGTGATGCAGGCAGAGCCAGCTCTGGAGACTGGTTCCAGTTTCTTTTCTGTCTGTTATTTCCCAGCGTGATGGAAAACCCTTCCTGATGGTTCTCATGGCTGTTAGAAGAAGGGATACAAATTTATGCTGCAATTTTTTAAAGCCTGAGCATGCTGGAGCCAGCCACTGGAAGATTCTCTGGCTGTGGAGCCAGGTGGGGTTGCTGGAGCCAGCCCAGTTCCTCACTGACAAACAGTGTTGTTTGTGTTCCCCTGCTCTGTGCAGCACCTGGGCTGCACTCCTGGATAATCCCCTCCCAACCTCGTCACTGTAGCGACATTTATCTTTCTCAAGGCTTTGAGACTTTCTACACAAGGTCATGTACTCCAGATAAAATCCTATTACAGACCTGAGATCAGCTTGTCTGGGGAGAGGAACAAAAGGCATCTTTACGTGAGTTTTGAGGTAAAACTTGTCATACTGTAAAATGGAGGAGACCTGAGATCCTGCCTCTGCCAGCACATGCTCAGTAGGGAGCATTGGAAGACCTTCTCTCTGCAGGTGCACACAGACCTTCTCCCGTGCCACAGCAGAACAGCTACAGCGCCAGAGTCTCTGCAGCTAAAATCTACCAAAGATTTTAATTTGAAGTGCTGGAGGAGACCACAACCATTAATGTGCTGAGGGGATATTGCAGAAGGTGAGCAATCTGCAGCCGCTTTGGAATCCTGTTGGGTATTCAGCTTTAAAGAGTACTCCTGATGTATTTGTGTAGATTCCTTCAAAACAGGTATGAGAGATTCCCTAGCAAGATGAACTGTTCATATTTCTCTGACTAGGCAATTCCATTTTTTTTTCTCTTACTGTTTTTAGATTTTTTTGATTCCGGTCGCTCGTAGTCATAATGATTTCCTGCGAGATGAATGTTGTGACTTCCCTGGCAGTAGGCAGAAAACTGAAAAGCAAATCAATTGATAGAAACTTTGTTTCAATAGCTTGGGATTTTTTAGTGTATGGCAGAGTTTCCTGGGCAGAACACCTTTAATTAATTGTTATAGAAGTTTATTTATGTAATTATAAACTGTTTCCTTTTAGTGTCAAGACAGAGTATGACTGAAGTTTAACTTGCCTACCTCCAAAATTCCATCTGGCAAGTAGAATGTTGCAAAGCTTCTGCAGTGTTTTGTCATGTCAGATTTATACCTGACTCAATGATAATCTGACAGAATAAATTGCTCAACTATTTCTAGTTGAGGTGGTGCTTCAGCTTTTGCTGTGTGACACTTCTGAGTAGCTGAACTTTGGCATAGGCTTCTTCTCAGGTGTGTAACTTGGTAACTGGGGCCCTTCCCAGGAGGACAGGCTGTTTTGTTTGGTTGTCCTACAATGTCGCAGCTTTGGGTTCCTCTCCTGCGCAGTCAGCACCACCTGCTGATGGGAAGGGAAGGTTCATGTGACAGTAAGGGATGGATTCCTTCTCCTTTTGTACGGAGAAACTCGATGCTGAGAGGTTATGCAGGGAGGAGAAAGGTAGCCCTTTGAAGCCTTTATCCCATAAAGAGGATAGAGAAGTGACTGCAATAGATTCAAGAGGTACTGAAATATATTTAATTATTACATTTTAAAAACCAGAATTTTAATGGATCGGGGGTGGGGATTTCCATCTAGGAGTGAGAGAGATAATGGATTTAGAGAAGGCTGCAGAAGCATGACTAAGAGCTCTTATTTTCCGGCAATTCAAGGATAAAATAGTCTAAAAGTGTTAACGCTTGGTTCCCCCTTTCCCTGGTGTGCTTTTGTATGTACCCCTTCCCGTAACCCGACCGCACACGGCCCGGACGGCTCGGTTAGTGCGTTACCGTTCCTCCTCACTAATTTTCACTGTTGTGAAAGTGATTTAGAATTAAAAAATGGTTTTACATTGAGCGGAGTGCGCCGCCGTTCCTTTGCGCTGCCTGGGGCCGGGACCGGGAGCGGCGGGGCCCGCCCGGGGCCGCGGCACGTGCGGGGCGGGGCTGCGGGCGGGGAGCGCCGCCATTGGCCAGTGGCGCGGAAAGGGCGGGGCGGGCGCGGCGGGGCCGCGCGGGGATTGGCCGGTGCGCGGGGCGGGCGACGCCGATTGGCGCGGGGGGGCCGGAGCGGGCGGTCCGGAGGATCGGGCCCAGGTGCGGCGGCCGCCGCTGGCGTCGGGCGCGCGGGCGGCGGGCGCGGGATGGAGGCGCTGCCAGGTGAGCTCGGGCCGGGCCGGCCGCGCCTCCGCGGGAGGAGCCGCCCTCCGCCACCCGGGGCGGGCGCGCGTACGCGAGGCCGCGGCTCTCGCCGTTATGCGGCCGCTGCCGCTTCGGCGGCGTCGCGGGGCGGCCCCTGCGGGGCTCGACGGGGCCGCTGCTTCCTGAGCCCGCGCCCCGGCCGCACGTCAGCCCCTGGCTGGGGAGCGCTCTGGGGCCGGCCCGCCGCTCCCTCCAGCGGGTGGCACCGCGCGGCCCGGGGGTCCCGGCGGGTCTCCGCAGCCCCGGTGCGATGGGATCCGCGGGACGGCCATGGGAGATGCGGCGCGGCCGCAGCCGGCACCGGGTCCTGCAGCGCGGGGGCTGCCAGTGCCACTGACCCCGTCCTTGCTGTCCCGCTCGAGGTCCCCCGCTGCCCCCGCGGCTCGGCCGCTGCTCCTCGCTGTGTCTGTGCCACATTCCTCCGGCCTGGGGAACTCGGCAGACCTGTTCCATGGATTATGTCCCTCTGCGTTTCCTTCGCGCTGTTTCCTGCTCTGTTTTGTTCATTTCCGTCGTTTCTCCTGCATACTGAAGCAGTTTCTGTTGGATTGAGGACTGTTCGTTTCCGTTTGTGAGCTAATCAGCCTTGCTGGGCACACTTAAACAGATGGAGCACTACAGCTGAGAGTCGGTGTAGTTTCTTCTTCATGGAGTTCCGAAGCTGATGGGACAGATTCTCTAAGATGGTCAGGGAGTAATTTGTTGTTTGTAATCAGCTGTGGTGTAGTCATTGATCTTTAAATGTCTTTAACAAGATCCGCAGACAGTTTTGACACGTGTGTGTTGTGCTGGTGACACTGAATGGGAGGGGATGGAGCCGCAGAATGTTTGGTTTGCAGGTAGTTTTGGCCTGCAGCTATTTCAGAAGTTCAGCTGACTTCCAGGCCTTGCCCTGCTTGGAGAGGAGAGCGTTGGCTGCCTGTGCATGGAGGCACAGGCACACGGAGCTTTGCCTTTTATTCCCAGTGTGCTGAAAAGCCATTTCCTTTATAGGACAACACAGGTAGGGTCAGGTTTTTCCAAGGTTCTCCCAGCCTTTATTTTATTGTGCAGGTCTGAGCTCAGGTGGAGTTCTTGGTGTTCTGGATTTACAGGAGGGCACAGGGGCAGGTGATCCAGGTGTGGAGCTGATGCACACCTGGGAGCTGAAGTAGCAACCTACACCACTTGTCACATTTGGAGATACCCTTTGAGCCTTACATCTTTATGGAGGCTTTCCTGGATACTGCTGGTCATAGTGGTGCTTGTAGCTGAGCAGCAAATGTTTTTTTTTTTTCCCTGAAATAGCTATTCATGTAAAAAGTGCAAGATCTTCACCTTGGTTAATTTTAAACATTGCCGTTGACCTGCACGGTGGGGCAAAGGTGCATGGAAGGTTGATGGCTTCTGTTTTGTGTAGCTTCAAGGAACTTAGCAGTGGTGTGAACTTGCCTAAGCAACTTGCCTAACCAAGTTGTACCATTCTTTGGAAAAGGGAAGTCCATGGTTTGTGGTTTTCCTTGTCTAAGTGCACCTTTTCCTTTAATGCAGCCTTGCTGCAAGCAAACTGTTGGTAGCAGGAAGAAACAGATTTGGGATCTGCTCAGCTCTGTGACACATTTCTTGTGCCATCCTGTGCTGAACTAAGATTCTTGACTCTTTAATATGCCTGCACTGCCCTTGGGATTTTGGATAGCATTTATCTGTGTGCCAAATGTTCTTTGTGCACAAGCTTTCATTCTGTTTTCCTAGCTTGCTTGCATCTAAGTAACCAGCTCTCTCTGGGGCTTTCTGGCAGTTCTAGCAAAAACTATTATAGCTCTATTATAACTGTTTTAAGTATTTTCTGGAAGGGCAATAGGCCAGTAGCATCACTCCCCCTTCCTAAGTCTGACGGTAGCCTGGTGTTGGCTGTACAGTCTCTAAGGGATTATTCATTCAAGAGTGCAATTCCTTCCTGGTAGTCTAGTTGTTCTCTACTGAATGAAGTTTGCCTTTCCTTTCTTTCAGTTCTGGGAAATCCAGTTAATTATACAAATGAGAGCAAACGTTATGTGCTGAGTCAGTGCTGTGGGGGAAGCAGTAGTGTGGCTTCCTGGCCGAGCACGGTTCTCTGTTGGAATTGTACTAGACCAGTGTTGCCTTCCCGAAATCTCTGCTCTGACAGAGCTGTAACTGAACTGTTTTATGTGAAAAGCCATATATTTTTCTTGTGCAGAATGTGAAGAAGCAAATGTATGACTGAAGGAAAAAAAATATACAAGATATGAGAGTTTGATTTGGGAGTTCCCACTCTGGGGTTATAGACTGCCTGCAGCTTTCCATGTGGGAAGGCTTTCCTGTCAGTTACTTAACTTAAGGTTGTTCTTTATGAAGGCTGTACCAATCTTTGTTTTCTCTGCTGTAAACTGGTTGCTGTTTGTCCCCTTATTGCTGTGTGCAGGTGAAGAGGTCTGGAGATGTCTGGGATGTGGGGACAGCATTGCTGCTGGGCAGCGCCTGCACAAGACTGTCAATGAGGCTTGGCACATCTCCTGTTTCCGGTAGGTAAAGCTCAGCCTTTCAACCCTCCTTGTGCTGTTCCACTGGCTGGGACCTGCTGGTGAGGTCCCAGCATGAGCTGGGGATTCCTGCAGTGCTCTCTGTGCCTGACCTGTTCCCAGCTCCTTTGTGGCTGTACCTCAGGGACACCATCCAGTCCCCAGAGCAGCTGGCACGGCCTGGCACAGATAAAGTGCAAATAAAAGCTCTGATTTACTGCTGGTGGCAGAAGCCATGGGTTACATGTTTGTCTTCTGCAGCATTCCAAAGCAGTGCCCAGGCAATTTGCACAGCCTGTTGCTTTTTCCATGTGTGGTAGGTGCAAGGGTGTTATCAGGGTGCTGATAGAGATCTTGCCTTTTGCTTTCTCTCCTTTCCAGACTCTTAAGACAGACAAACTTACGAAATCTGTTAGATAATGTTGCTGTCAGCAAGGACAAAAAGGGATGTCTGCCATGGTGGTAGGAGTAATGACTCTTTTTGGTGTTCCATGAATACTCAGTCCAGTTTTCATGCTCCAGAATCACATTTCTGAAGGGGTCTGCATTTTTGACAGAGGTTCAGTACCTGCAGCTTCTACTGGCTTCTATGTTGGCTTGAATATGGGGAGGTTAATGTTTTGGATACTGTTGAAGAAAGTGGGGAAAAAGGAAGCCAAAGTGTGGCTTTGGAGGAATGTTTTCTGTGCCAAAGTAAGCATCTATTGTCCTCGTTTAAAGAACACAAGGAAAAAACCCCAACAAAATACCCCAACTTTGTTGAAGTGAGGATTGTGGTTATTGGTATATTTAAAAAAATAAAGAATCTCATGCTGCCAAAGCAGTGCAGGCTCAGTTGACTTGGAAAATGCTGTTTTAGTGACACATTAATAATCACAATAACGTTTTGATTTCATTACAAATCCCGGTATTTTGGATTTCTCTTGGTTTTAGTGTTCATGTTTAGCCATAATGAAGCAGCTTTTCTTAATCCTGGTTTTCTCTTTTCCCTGAAGGATGAGTATCCTGCTGAGCTTCCCTAGACTGTGCCAGTAGCCAAACCCCAAGCTGTGTGTGCTGGGAAGTGTGTCCCTCTTGCCATTGAATGTATTTCTCTTGTGGGTCTTGATTTGCAAATGTCTTGGTGCTGGCAAATCCTGCCTTTGGGACACTTCACAGAGGATTTGTTTTCATAGGTTATATTGTATAATGGAGGTCTGGTTGTTGCTTCTTGGCTGGTTTGTTTTACACAAGTGATGACACCAACCTTTCTCTGAGCTGTGTAGTCACTTTTTGCATTTGCTGATGCTCTTCTTGTGCTCTGTGCCTTTGGCAAGCTGGAGCACCCAGTGGGGCTGCTGTGCTCAGTGAACACTTGGAACCTGCAGCAAAGGAAGCTGCCCTCCCCTTTTTCCTAGTTCCAGGGTAGGACTGTACATGAAAACAAGTTTCCAGTTTGCCCTGTGTTCCTCTTTTCCTCCTGCTGTCCCTAAGCCATGCTGAGCAGCGCTCCTGTGCCTGATATCCCAAAGGCAAACTTGAAAAAGCCTCTAAGGGTAGGAGGCTTTGGCAGTTGGGAGCTGTGAGTTCCGGCGGCTCTTGTGCAGTGTTTTTTCCAGTCTTCCTGGGGATTAGCTGACTCCCTGGCCTGGCACATAATTTCTCTAATGCTGCTGGCATTGCTCCAGGCTCGTTAGCTCTGTTTATTCTTGGTCAGGCTTGGCGCTGGCAGGAGCTGACGTACATGAGCGTCTCTGAGGATTTCAGTTTTTGTCACTTCCCTCCTTCCTCAAACTGCATCTACAGGAGCTTTTGTCTCTGAAACCTGCATTTTCTCTGCTGTGGCTGGAGGGAAGAGCAAATCCCTGTTTGTAGATCTTGGATATTTTGGACTGTTCTTTGGCCAGCTGGTTCCTTAGGCTTGATTCTGATGGGCTGGATCTGGCTGAGGAAGTTTCTTAGATGTTTCTGTCACAGTGTCTGTTGTGAATTAACTCTGAATGTGCTTTTGTGCCTCTGAGTTCTGTTGAGACAGCACACACTTCCAAAGGTCACTGCTTTTCACAGTTTGTGACTGGATTTGGAAATTGCATTGCACAGAACTTCAACCATTACACCAAGAAAGGGAAAGATAGAAGTGAAAAGGTGCCTTTTTCCTAGGTCTGGATCATTTTTACCTCAGGGGATTATTGGAAGAGCTTTTTTGACCAAGAGCATGGTGGTTTTATTGTTTTCAGTCAAACTTTTTCCCATATTGCAAAATAGAAGGTAAAGCCTTGAATACTTTTGAATATATATCTAAATATACTTTTGAATAAAGTATTATTACCAATGTTTATTTTTGGTGGTTTGTGTTGTTTTTCTGCAGTTACTGATGAATGAAATTAAAGACAATCCCCACTTTCTGTAGGGATATTGTGTATTTGAATTGGAGTAGGATGGAATGAGAAGACCCAGACATAGCTGTATGGCTTTTTCTTGAGGACATGGTATTTGTTAAAAATCCAGTTTTGATTATTTGAAAACCACAAATTCAGATCAAGCCTGTAGACCACATCCAGGTGGAAAGTGGATGCATAGGATGAAAATAATTTGAAATACTGGCAGGAATTCCTACTGTAGCAGGCTGCTTAAGCATTTTTTAGGAAGGAAGACAGCTGAGGCTCAGTTCCTTCCTACCCATGAAATAACAGAGCATGTTTAGTGCTGTGGTCTATAAAATAAACCTAATTTAAGTAGCCAAGCAACACTGGCTTGCTGCACAAATGTCTACTAAAAGCCAAAGCCAGAAAAAATGTTCACAGTATATCTTCAAAAGTAGCAGAAGGTGATGGATTACTGGTGATTTTACAGTCACAGATTTAAAAGATACCATTTAGTTTATAGCCAAACCAGTTAATTAAAAGCTGAAAAATCATCAGGAGTTTGAAGAGCAGTGGATTAGCTATCCATGGATCAAGGGGTGCCCTAAGCTCCAGCCTACTGGACAGAAAAAGAAACTCTAAATAGGAGCTGACTCTTGTCTTTCAACAGCAGCAAAGCACGTGTTACACTGATTTCCCAGCTCTAGTGATTTGATTGTCTTCCAAAATGTGATTTTTCTATACTGAATGCCATATTTTGTGTGCTACAGAAATATTTTTTTTTCTCAGCAAAACTTAGTAAATCACTTTGATTCTTTTTACATTTGGGGACAGGGGAAAGCAAGCCCGGCAAACTTGTATGAAGACTGTATATAATTAAACCTGGTCTGAGGGTGCAGGATAAACTAGATGATTTCTGAGGGTATTTTTATAAATCTGGTTTCTGTTTTTAGTATATCTACTATCAACTTATATTGGAAGCAAGTAATTTTTGTGGCTTAGGGATGATCAAGAAATTGGTCATCTAACAATCTCCAGTGACTGTAGGATTTTGGTCTCTCACACTGTTTACTAGAACTTCATTATCCTCAGGGTTAGAACCTTCTGTCTACTATCTATTTAAATCCATTTCTTCTAGCCATGTTCATGAAAAACAAGCTTTTTTCCCTGTTTCTGTTATCCACAGAGCCTTCCCCTGTCAGAAGGGAGATTGTATCTCCCATCAGTCCCTGGTGCAAGGCAGAAGCCCTGGATTTAGCAGACTTGGCTTTTTCTCCAGACTCTATTTTCTAGACTTTAGATCACTTCTGTCAGTTCAATCTCTTTGGCACAGGCCTTCATTTTCCAAAAGCAGCTCCCTCCTCAGAGGACAAATGGTTGAACAGGATTTGAAGCACAAACGTGGATAAATGAAGATGTAAGCAAGATGGGTATTAGGAGGAATTTAAATTGTGGGATGTTTGGTGCTTTGAGTTTTCCTTTAGCTTTTCACCTGTGAGAACAAGGCAGGTTTATCCACCCAGCAGCTGAGTTTGAGAGCAGGGGAAAGAGCAGCAGTAATAAAAGGCAGCTGAATTAAGGTAGGAGCAGGAAGATAAAAATCGTCTTCCCTCTCTTCTCCAGTTTCTGGCAGTTACAGAAAGTTAATGATAGGGGCCTCAGAGGTGAGAACTCTTCACTAATCCTGCAGATTCCTGGCAGTGCTCCTTCGGTGGTGTCTTCTTCAGCATTGAAATTCAGGAGCTCGCTATCAGATTCAGGGACAAATAGTTCCCTATTGGCACACAGATCGCTATGACCATTGAGAGTTTACACATTCAAAGGAACAATGGAGCACTTTGCAGGTGGCCCGAATTCCTCAGGGGAATCGATCAGATACAGGGCATCAATGACCAGCCTTTATATTTAAGGAGGAATGGGGCATTCCAGTCCAAACTTTCTTTTGCTTGAATTGGCAGCTTGTCCTTTAGGGCACTGTTATCGAGCATTATTATATCAAGGTAATTAGAATTACTCACACAGCACTGAATGTGAGGCACAGGAGTGAGGCAGGATCCTTCCCTGAGGAGTTCCCGGTCCTCACAGACCAAAGCAGCACGTTCAGGAGGAGTGAGGATGCAGTGCTGCAAGTGCCAGTCCTACTGCCATATCTGCTGCATTTACAGAGCAGAAACCACTGCTTCCCAAACCATGTATAAGCTAAGTTTCAGTGGGTTGAATTTCCTTGGTTTGCTTCTCAGCCCGCACCCATTCAGGAGGGCTGCAGCCATCAGGCGAGCGTGGTGGGGATAAAACCTCTCCTTCCTCATGTGCTTGGTGGTGTGAGATACTGAGCAGCATCACAGCGTTGTTCTGAGGTTGTGCTGCTGCTCAGAAGTGAGATGCAGTGATGGAGCTGAGCTTCAGGTTTGTTGTAGTTTACTCAAGATCGGCTCCAAGAGCTCAGAGGTACGTGCAGATCCCAAGGTGCTGCTCGCAGGAGCTGACTGGATTGGTTTCAGGAGCTGACTCTTGTCTTTCAACAGCAGCAAAGCACGTGTTACACGTTAAGTGCCTTGGGAATACAATGAGGTGTTGGGATTGCATGAAGTATTTGGAATGCCTCCAAGCTGTGCCCATGCTGAAGGAAAGGCTTGCTGCAAACTCTTCAAGCATCGAGCAGATTCCTCTTCCCTCAGTCCCACACATGTGGAAGTGTCTGTCTGTGCCAGGAGAAGTTTGTGTATCTCAGGGCTGGCGGATGTGCTGAGCAATACATCTGTCTGCAGATATGCTACCGAGCAGCACGGGATGTGTGGCAAGGAGAGGCTGCCCGGCCCCAGCTGGCTCAAGGTATTCATCACTGGAATATCACAACAGCTGTGTGATTCATTTCTGGGGAGATAAATCTCTAATAATGGCTGAGACTCGGTGATAAATATCATGTAAGTCCTTGTTAAGGTTTTCCATGTGTTCCTTTTCATTTGTTAGTTATAGCCTTTCTGGCACAAGTTATTGCACAGTTCTAAACCATAATGAGGAAAAAAGCTCCCCCCATGATGACCACCTGGTTGTAGTGGAAATGCTGCCAGCATTTGCAAGAGAGAAGTTGCTGATGTCTGACTTGACTTGGTGAAAAATAAATTTACTCCTGTGCATTTTGGCCCCCAGAGATGGCATCAGTAAAATTACAGAAGGTGCTCCCCCCCCCCCCCCCCCCCCCACCTGTTATCAGCATGATTGAAGTACAGTCATTCTGGCAGGAATTCAGATCTAGAATGTATGAACACATTAACACCTTTTCCAGAGCCCTTTTATCAGAAGACATTGTGTTCTCAAATAGGTCATAGAGACAACAGAAAAAGCAAGAAGTAACAAGACATTTCTGTGTAGCCAAAGTAACTTACTGGCTTCTGCTGCTGGGTCTTGCTGCAGAAGTAAAATAATTTTGATAAGAAGTTTCCTGTTTAAATAGACATTTGACTATGTGTCCTTTGGCTTTAAGGAAGTCTTAAAATCCTTTCCTAGTTGCTTAGCTGTCTGGGTGGTTTTTATTACTTTGAAGTCGGGCTTTATCTGCTGGCTTCATTCACAGACTAGCTGGCTGCTTATCACATCTGTGGATCAAATCTTCAAAGGTTTTGTCTGAAGAGTTGGGATTTATGAGGTCACGTGGAATGCCCCTCGGAGGGCGGCGAGCCCATGGCAGCAGAATTGTAGGGAAAAGCTTTTGTGTGTAGGTGCCAGAGGCGGGAGGGGCTGCGCTGGAGGTGGGCGTGTGGTGGGGAGGTGCTGATAGCCAGGGAAGCGCAGGGTTGTGAGCGCTGGCCCCTGTTCAGCACGCAGCATATAGAGAATGTGGGAGACCAGAGCGCATTCCTAGACACAGACTCACCGTGTTGCTGCTTCCAGTAGAGCTGTGTGAAATGTCAGAAGGAATTAGACCCGTGCTGGAACTGACAAGCACATCGGGCTCTGCAGCACTAGGCTTCACTGCACTTTTACAGCCAGGCTTACCAACTACATTCAGTGGGGAAAATTGAGATTTTTTTTTTTCCCTTCAGAAAGGTGGCTGCTTATTAAAAGTTAAATTTTAAAAAATGTTTAAGAAAGGAGAAAAAAAACCCACAAAAAGCTGCCTAGGTTTCTGCATACTTCAAGAGCGAGCAGCAGCTGTCAAATCTGCAGCCAAGACTGCCTTGTTCCAGCCCCAAGCATCCCTGGAGCAGTGTGCCAGCTGAGGCGAGCATCTCCAGGAAAAGCACATTACAGAGCTCTTGTGCTCTTGCCTCTGGAACAGAGCATGGTTTTCAGGCTGTGTTCAGGCATGCCAGGCTTTGCTGACTGTACAGAAATGCGCGGGCTTGGTGTTTGTTGCATTTTTGAGTGTCTTGCGAGCAGCTTTAGCTGATTAGGTCACTGGAGATCATGCTTGGCTTCAGACAAGCACAGTGATACAACTGCATGTGCTGTGAGCTGGAGAGAGTATTCCGTGTGATTTGTACCTCTCAGCTTCCCTTCAGGAGATAATAATTCTGTTAAAGGATTGTAATGATGTCTTAAAACAGTATTGGAAAGAAAGCAGTGTTTCCTTGGATGAAGCACACTGCGAGTTACTTCCTGCAGCAGGGTGAACAGATTGTAGGTGCTGTGAAGGCAGGATAACCCCACTCACTGTGAAGGGTTTAGGAATGTATTTAGTTAATTTGATGTACTTGGAGATGTGGCTCGTTGCCGTCTTTGACTCCTTCATTAGAACGTGCGGCTGCTGCAAAGACAAGTTTCACGTGTGCGTGCTTGTATTCTTTGGCCAAAGCTGCTCTCTTTCAGCACTAAATACTCAGCCCCTCTTTGGGTCAGAGCTCCACCCCTGTGAAGGAGCAGAGCCTGTTGAGGCTCTGGATCCGCCGCTGTCCGCCTGCCATGGCTCCTCCTCCCCTCCCACCCTTGGGTGGAACCAGAGAAGGGAAAACTTGCCAGTAGTGAGCAGGCAGCA